CTGTTGTGAAGTACAAAATTCTGGAAACAAAGTGATCCCTCGGAAGCATTAATTACAACAAAATAACATAAGAATTGCAGACTCGGTTTGATTGAGTCTGTACATGAGGGATAATGTATAAGTGCAACATCCCTCACGCCCCCTAGCACTGGCTGAGCGGTACTCAGTTCTCAACACTTTATAGTGTTGGCATCAATGACCCCGAAGGACCAGAAAATATAACAACACTGTAGTGAAGTACGGGGCAACTTTTTAAAAGTTGCCTTCGTAAAAAAAGCCTTCGCAACGCCCAGTTTCTATGCGTAAAGGCGCAACACCACAACGAAACTTGCTAAATGCAGTGCGATGACAAGGAGGCATAATGAGTTTACAAAATAATTCTGTCTCATATTTTGTTTTAAACAGTCGATATGTACGCAACTTATTGCCACCACGACCAGAAGGACCGGTGACACTATTCAAAGACTAGAGCAAGTTTAAAACAAAATTTTCTTGCAATATAGTTGTAATAATATTCACTATAGTATGTTTTGGAATGGAAATTCTTATATCACTATATTGGCGTGCATTACAATTTTTTAACATATCATTAACATAGCAAGACCAGTTCTTACATGATCTACATGTACTTGGTCACGTCCTGCACATATATATTCTAACCTGTTATGTCCTATACATTTATGTTCTTACATGGCCAGTCCTTTCAAACATGTACTTGGTCACGTCCTGTATGTTCTTTTTACACTTAAAAGAAAAAGTTTTTATATGTATAAAATTATGCTTATAAAAATTTTTCAAACATCAAAGAAAATGTAAAATATTAAATGCAAATATTTGTGCACATTATATGTAATCATTAAAATCTATACATTCATTTCGTACTGAAAGTTTGACTTATACTTTATAGAAAATAAATTTTTGATTTACCTCCCTTTTTTACATGAAATGTTAAATTCGGTAATATTTTTATATATTATGCTTCTTGGAACTTACATATTGATAAATCTTAATTGGAGCATCATATTGATGATATAAAACCATAAAAATATTGTGTAACAGGAAGGATCTTTAACAAAATCATTGCAAAAAGTCTTTTAAAATTACATTATTCTAAGCATGTTACAACCGAGGTATCTCGTCTTATTGGAAACGTAGAGCAGGATTTTTGACAATTTATTTAATACATATTATATACCTCACCAATTTTTACAAACTTACTTGATCTGAAATATTTATCTAGTTATATCTACCGCCCATGCATTTTGGTAAAAATAGAGTTTAAGACAATTTATTGAACACACCATATATATCTGACCAATATCTACATGGTTATTTGATCTTGAATATATCATTTACTCAATCTGCTGGCAAATATGGCAGATCGGTCTCTTTTTTTATCTTAAGTTTCAGAAATCTAACCGAAAGATTTCTCTCCATCACCAGCATATATTATCTTTATTAGCAACTAGTTGATTAAGCCTTTTCATGCAACATCCCCTGAACACGCCAATTTTAAATCAATGAGTAGCTTAATTGGTGGAAATAATCATTTTAACTGCATATTATATTTTATAAAAAGAGATTTTTTTTCCAATGAAAAATATAAAATATCGTGCGCTTCATCACCATAACATTTTATTTTTGACGCATTCTTGTTAGTTTCTATAAATGTGATAGTCTTATGTGATGTGTGACACGAAAAAAAGTCAAGATATTTGTATTTGATAAAGGAAGCAATTAAATCAAGTTATGTTTTAAATCATATAATTATAATACTTTTTTCGTAATCTTACGTATGTTATTAATCTTATAATGCAATATAAACTACCTTGAAATTTCTGGCAAAATGAAAAAATAAAACACTTACATCTTTTTAAACATGTATTTCTTTTTTCAAAGCATATTTACATATAACAAACATACAATAAAACTATAAAAAATGTCATTTAATATGTATCATAAAAGGGTGGTTGCTATACTTTTCCGTATAGTAATTTATCAAGTATGCTTCTGTATTAATTCGATATGGTGAAAAGATTACATAATTTAGTTTCGATAAAAGTGCGAATACTTGGAAGGTTTGTAATAGAAAAATTAAACGTATCTTTAAAGAAATAGAGTCCTACGGAAAAACCCCTTTTATTTTAATATGGGTTTTAAAACTGTTTTATTTTCCCTTTTAAAAAATTTAAATTTTTCTGAAGTAAATAAAAATTTTTTATCTAAAGATAAAACTCAAAAATAGGGTTTTTCACCCTTAACAAAAAAAAATAAGACAAATTTTTGTGAATTAAACTTGACAATGTTTTTAAAAAAAAGACCGTTTTCCTAACTTAAAAATTATGCAAACCTTAAAAGAAAAATAACACAAAAAAGAAAAAAATAGTGAATTTGAAAAAAAAATTGGAAAAAAGGAAAAATTCCCGAATTTGAAAAAGTTTCCATTTTCCCCTAAATTTAAAACCTTTAGTATTTTTAAAAAAATGGGGGCAAAACAAATAAATTGGAAAAATACAGTGGAAACTTAAATTTCAGAAATAAATTTATTATTACCCTTTAAACTTAATTTTGATGCGCGCTTTTTATTAGACACTTTAATTGTGGTAATGAAATATCCAAAAATAAAATGTTAAACTCTTTAAAACTGGCAAATTCTCTACAGGGGCGAGGTGAACAATTTCTGAGTTGACCAGTTTAAATATCAACTATACCTTATACATATGTATACATTTAATTAGACAGTCTGTGTCGCAGCGTTTTAGGAAACTCAAAATGTGAAACATTTTATTCAGGCCCATACAAAGAGAGTTATAAAACATATAAACAAGGGGGCCATGATGGCCCTAGATCACTCACCTGACCCATTGAACTCGTCCAAACAATTACCTAGACAAGCATTCTGACCAAGTTTCATAACAGTTGAGTCAAAAATGTGACCACTAGAGTGTTAACTAGGATTATCCATATCTGTGTTGCCTAGTTTTTTACCCAGGTGACCTATATTCGAACTTGACCTAGAAATCATCAAAACAAACTTTCAGACCAATTTACAGGATATTGGGATCAAAACAGTAGCCACTTGAGTGTTAACAAGATTTTTCTATTTTTAGCTCCAGAGCCCTAGTTTTTCATCCGAGATGACCAATGTTCGAACTCTTCCTTGCAATTACCTAGACAAGCAACCTGACCAAGTTTAATGACACTCGAGTCAAAAATCTGACCGCTAGAGTGTTTACAAGGTTTGTCTATTTTTAGCCCTGGTGACCTAGTTTTTCATCCGAGATGACCAATGTTCGAAATCATCCGTACTATCACTTAGACAAGCATCCTGGCCAAGTTTGATGTTGATTGAGGCACAAATGTGACCGCTAAAGTGTTAACAATGTTTTTTTTTCTATTTTTAGCTCTGGTGACCTAGCTTTTCATCCTAGATGATCCATGTTGAAATCATTTGAGCTATCAACAAGATAAGCATCCTGAGTAAGTTTGATGATGACTGAGGCAAAAATGTGACCGCTAGATTGTTAACAAGGTTTTTAGTCTTTTAGCTCCGGTGACCTAGTTTTTCTAGACAGCAAGCTGACAAAGTTTGATGATGATTGATGCAAAAATGTGACCGCTTGAGTGTTAACAAAGTTTTTCTATTTTTAGCTCCTGTGGTCTAGTTTTTCATCCGAGATGACCCTCGTTCTTGCTCATTCAAGCTATCACCTAGACGCACTCCTGTGACCTAGTTTTTCATCCGAGATAACCCATGTTCGAACTCATTCGAGCTGTCAACTAGATAAGCATCTTGAGCAAGTTTGATGATTATTGACGCAAAAATGACCGCCCGGGTTTTAGCAAGGTTTTTCTAGTTTTAGCTCCGGTGACCTTGTTTTTCATCCGAGATGACCCTCGTTCGTACTCATTCGAGCTATCAACTAAATAAGCATCCTGAGTAAGTTTTATGATGATTGAGACAAAAATGTGACCGCTAGAGTGTTAACAAACAAGTGTGGACGGACGACGGACAGACGACCCTAAAAGCTCACCCTGAGCAAGCTCAGGTGAGCTTAAAAACTATTTAACCAATACTTAAGGTATAACAAAAGTTATTGTGATTGAACAGAAATGAAAGAGTGGTTATGAAGAAGATACTAAGTATTTCCAATGTTGTTAATCAAAATTTGCCAACATATTTAAAGTTTGTACTTCAACCATAACTGATATCGAATGTATACATGTATATAGGCCTATACGAAATATAACTGGAAAACAGCCAAATTCTGATACTCTTTGAAAACGGCGTCACTACTGACTATCATTTTCATTACCTTTTTGATAGTTCTTTAGTTTTTGCCATAAATGATTTGTACTTCTATCAAGATACATAACATACATGCTGGTTTTCTTAAAATTTATAATTGATGTTTTAAGAAGACGAATTGGTTGAAAAGGGTATCCGAAATACCATGATATATCCGTCACTCGTAACATAATAAAATATGCATTTCATTTCAATTCTTCAGTTAAAATTTATTAGTTGTACAGTTCAGTCAAATAATGAGTCATTTTTAAATCAATATTACTATTAATGGCATGTTCATGTCTGCTAATCGGTCAAGTTTGTTTGATATTTTGTCCTTAACTTTTCGCACCATGTAGGGTACCTTATCTATGTTATATTCTTAAGGGAACATTCGACCGAAGTAAGTAGATTTTTACACTTAGGAATTTTATGAATAGTAACTAAAGAATTTCTTAAAAAAAACTTATGGAAATCTAATGAATATTTTAAGGAAAACCTTAAAAAGTAAGAGAATGTTTTCCCTAAGGAGCTGATCTACTGATTTCTTACATCCAGCGTGGCGTTGTTTACAAGCTGATTTTCTATCAGATCAGATCTATTGACACAGACCATTTAACAAACACGACTGTTTTGTGTGTTATTCAGACTATAGCTATACCTTAAATATAGTTTAAATGTTTTCGTAGAAACACCTGGTTTAACAGCTTGCCTTTTCCTTCTTTTTTTTCCTTTTCCAAATGTATATATAAATGCAAGGTCATAACCACTGATTTATAATCGAACAGTTGTAATATTTGTAAAGTGTATTGTATTATAAAAAGAATAGGAAAGGTGAGCATTCTTGAAAATGAATATGCTTTTTAAAAGATTTTAAACTGGATTTAATGTTTTATCTTTAAATGCCAAGTTTGACAGATATTAAATTGAAAAGTATCGTATTTCGACTCTTGTTCATTATTATTTTTCTTTTGCTAAATTGAACGTGTAATATCATATTATTAATATTTTAAAATTAGATGGCTACAGAAGCAGGAACACCCAGTTATCAGGATAAAGAACTACGGCAGGTAATGTGCAATTCTTCTCAATTTTCTCGTAAATTTAAGAATAATGTTGTTTTATTTCGAAGTTCTAGAAATAAGTTAAAAAAGCGATTAAAGTTTAAATATAAAAGAGTCAAGAATCACAAAAGGAATCATAACTCTTGTAAAATTGCCTGTTGAACTATAGACATTATGATCATATGATCAAAAGTTAAAAAACTGTATTCAGTTATAACTCGAGAGCAATGTTTGTCGTACAGTACTATTTAGAAAATACAATACAAATTAAATTTCATCTAATTATAAGAAGTTAAAAATGACGTTGGACAAAACAATATGAAAGGGTTTCAAACTATGATAATATCATATGAATATAAGGCACATACAAAATTTATCCATGTAATGTTGATAACATTCTGACCTCAGGTTGCCTGATTTCGTTACGTGCCAACATTCGTTGTCCATTCTTCCGAGGAAGCTGCAATAAAAACACTTCATACACAACACAAAAGTCTTGACGAATGCAAATGTTATGTCATCATTTCCATTTCACAACATTAACTTGTTTATTCTTTTGTTCATTTTGTAAATCAAGTTTCGTTTCGTTCAAAGCCTTGATAATGGCCGTGTTGTCATTACGGTATTTCAGGTAAAATATCTGGAAATTGTTATTCCGACATATGCTTGAATATATTATGTATTTGATCGGTTAAAGTCGTTTTTTATAAAAAAAAAACTTTGTTGCTTGGAATATAAATGAAAACCTAATAAATTAAATATCGTCAAAATTTTGATTGTTAATTTTTAATTACTTTGCAGAAAAAAGTTTTGGGGGGTCACAGACTTATGACTGAAGCAATATTCCAAAATCAGAAAAACGATCAATTGAAATAAGTTTTTTTATCTGGCAGTAACAAGGAAAGGGTTAAAACTCTAATTTTAGGACAAAAGGAAAGTACGAGTTATACCATAAATAATTCATTGTACAACTTAATTTGCATCTCTTTTGAATTTGGAGGTTTGTTCTGGACATCCATCGTGTGCTTGTATATATTCTGTTTCGTAATTATTTCATTCACCTTTTGTTTTGCAACATCTATTGATGTAACGCAATTTAAAATGAGCGCTCTTATTTTCAGAATGAGAGGGTAGAGAAAGGACAGAACAGGTTCTTGCGTCACAGAAACTTCATTTTTCAACGAATCGACATCGCGTTAGTTCTTGCTAATTGCTATCAGATAAGAACCATTGTCTCAGAACCCAACAAACATGAATATTACAAGATACCATTGGGGTTTGCGATAGGCTCAATATGTTCACAGATTTTGTTTACGATACTGATGGTCATTACTTGGCAATCAGATAAAAGGTCAATCGACTCTCAAGGCAATATAAAAAAGGCTGAAAGTTTGATAGGCAAGGTCTCGCAATTCATTGCCATGCTTTTAGTTCTATTTATTGTCATTTCAAACATTGTTGTTGTAGAATTTGGGGCTATGACCAGCAATAATAAAGGAAATAAAACTGACTCAAGTTGAGATCTTACTTTTTGCAAAAAATAGTATCGTTGTTGTGGAGATGATTTTAATCAGAATGAAATGAAAATGTACTGACAAGAGGGATAAAAAGATATAAGATAGCAAAAAAAAATCAAATTATGAACTTGAACTTTTTTTAAGACATTTATAATATTTTTCTGAGAAATAGTGGTTGAAATAGTGTTAAAGATTTTTCTACTCAGCAGGCTCATTACATTATATCATCAGTTCCCGAATTTTGCAATATTTACCCCCCTTGCACAAGCGACAGCCATTTTGGGGTCAATATTTGATTAAATATTATTGACAAAATATGAAGAAAAATAACCAAACACACAACTGATTTAGGTGAACTGTGAAATTCTTTTATATGAAGGCAAATATTATTATACTAGCACCTATATATAAAATATTTTTATCAATTTGCATGAGGATAATAAAATTATGAGATTTTAATTTTTTTTAGGCATAAATATATCATGAATGACCTTCAAAATGGCGGTCAGTGGAGGTAATAATTACTATGTGAAAAGCATCTATAATTAATAAGTAGTTATTCTGGATGTATACGTCATGTATATAAATGTGTTTAAAATGATAATTCACCAATGTAGCATAACTGTTAATCTAAAATAAAAGATAAAATTATTGTCCGTTTTGATTCTTTTTAGTTGACATTTTGGATTCGTTCGATTCATTATGACAAATTAAGACGAAAATAATTCAAACATTTGAAAACATTTGTTTTACTTTGTAAGCACATGCATACCGTTAAACCTAATGCATTTGTATTAAGCTTTTTTTATTAAATGAATCTTCGGATTTATTTGGAAAGTATGGAATCAATATAAATGTCCGTCCAGGTTGAAAATAAAGACATACTTATTATCATTTTATTGACAAGTTATGTTTATATTGTTCCGGTTTCAAAAATCTGGAGAAAAACATATTTCATCACAAAACACCTGAAACTTTTGTAAAAGATATTGTTTCCTCATGTTCAACTAAATTTACCCCGCTCCACCCTACCTTCATGTGCGGTGTCCAAGTGGGTGTATGTTGTCCCGTTTTAGTCAATTATCGCTGAGAGGCGGTTGTGCTCCATGAACATGTTTTTCCTTTGTTGACCTCCGCTCTTATGTTTTAACAATCTCTTTTTCAGTCAGACAGTTTATCTCAACATGAAAATTGTCTTTCTTTAATTCTAAAGCAGAACAGCAGTTTCACTTCATAGATATCATTTTAAATTTGACATAAACCTTACGACAAATCAAGCACACAGATAAATCCTCATCAATCATTTCAACGCGGAGATTTCTGTATGGTCTTAATCTTTTCATTTTGAATTATGGGTGAATAAGTATATTACAATTAGAATGTCTCCATAAAATATTTGTTAACAAAAGAACACATGTCAATGTTTGTGGTTAAATCTATTGTTATTCAAATAAAAGGGTCAGAGTAGGGATCTATCAATTAAATGGTCAGTTTTATTTTAGTTTCTTTTATTAAGAGATAAATAAACTGAAAGTACATATCTGAAGTTTTTAGTCAAGAACCTAAACCCGTGTTCATTAAAAAAATCTTGATCATATGATTTTATTTTTATTGCCTTATTGAGATAAACGTGACCGTATTATGGAACATAAACAAAATGTAACAAAACAAAGCTGACTTGCAAAGAAACGACCTTTTTCTGGGTTAAAATTAAGGAAAAACAATACAAATACATCATTAGATAGATCAAAATAAGGATAAATGTCAGGATCAAGATCTATAATTGTATAAACTGTTAATGCGACATTAAGTCAATCTAAATAGCATCACTATAATGGCATTACTCAAATTTATGGGATTACTGCCATCTAAATGTAAATGGTAGGGGAATAACTGCCATCTAAGTGTACACGTCAAAGTAAAAATAACTTACGATTTTGCCATGCTTAAATCCTATAGTCTAGTTCAAATCGATAACCCACGTGATTTACAGATATTTCTATAAATATCATTTGCAATGTATCGATAACGTTCAATTGATAAAAAGAGTAGGACAGTTTTTTTTTATATTTCTGACAATTGTTATATTTCATCCTAAACAATTGTTTCTCATTATTGGTCAATGGCCATTATAATAGTCAATATTTTTGAAATATACCTATTGACAATTTAGTTCAACTCGACAACGAAAAGTAAACATACTGTCACTTGAAATACCCATATTTTGTAAGGTAATAATTCTAATTTTATTCTAAAATTTCATAAACATATCATTTCAAGCCCACGATGGTATCTAGCTTATATTAAATACTTAATATAATGATGAGGATAAATAATAGAAAATATTTGAGTTTCTTTAAACTAATCCTTATCTTGATCAGGCCTTAACTCTTTGTGAGCACGAGGCCTGGTTAATCATGTGCAAACACAAACACAAATTAAATAAAATTAAAAAAAGAAAACTTTATACAAACAATCTATTTACAGACATAGTGTCGCTGTTTCTCGACTGACCTTCTGTTTGATTACAAAATACTGAACCCTTAAATGTGCATTGAAATAACTGACAAAAGAAAACACTTCCTGCCAAGACATTCGATAAAAAGTTGTAGTCCTAAAGCATTTCTTAATCAAGTAAACCTTACAAGAAATAAAAAATACCTGGCGACGGTGTACAGGTTTTATAGTGCTTTTTTTCTGTGAATTTTGGTATTAAAAAGATTTTTAACGCCAGGTATATTCTGCTCAACAACTTTATTTCAAACCGCAACAAAATTGTTTCTTTGAGGGAAAAAAAGTAAAATATTTAGTTCGAAGAAGATAATCATTCTAAATATACCAAATCATCAGAATAACGCCATTTGCTTGTTTCAACGAAAATAACATTTGAGCCGCGTCATGACAAAACCAACATAGTGTGTTTGCGACCAGCATGGATCCAGACCAGCCTGCGCATCCGCGCAGTCTGATCAGGATCCATGCTGTTCGCTATCATTTTCTACTTGTAAAAGGGTTAATAAGCGAACAGCATGGATTCTGATGGGATCCATGCTGGTCACAACGCACTATGTTTGTTTTGTCGTGACGCGGCTCATTTATTTATGGATTGTATGCAATGTAAAAACTGATTAATTATTAGATAGTAAATTGTTACTTTGTTGCACATTAGACATTGAACATGTTCAAATGAATTATTTTCAAGCAGACGATTTAATCATGATTAAGAACAAATTTGCGATTTTATTAAGGAAAGTGCTCAAGTATCGAATAAATATGCTGTTTCAAAGTCCGTATATGGTCATAAAACGAATAAATGATTTACCGAATCGGATGCAATTTCCTTGAAATGTTTATCAATCAATCAATCAATATTTTTTATTTCCCTTAAGATATGCAATATAGATACATGACAACATGAGGTAAATAGAAAAATAAGAATAAATCGCGGCACTTATCAAATCAAATATCCACATGAAAGCAAATGCGGAAAAATAATTTATAATGACTAGTAAATTTAAATAATGTCATTATCAAAAACAATGAAAAATAAAGATAAATCTTACATAAGAAGGGGGAAAAAGAAAATGAAAAAGACAATATATCTAGGGGCCAATAATTAATTACCTGTAAAGTTAAATGGAGGCCACGTTTAACTGAGCGGCAAATCACACAGTGATTGAACTAAAAATGCAAGCTATGAGTACATCTATTACCCAGGAGGATGTTTGTCATATTTGTTTCGTAGCTTAATGTTTTACAACTAATTACAGTCTGGTTAGCATATTTAAAAAGTAATAAGAGTGGAGCTAAGAGGGCGGTGACATGTTTTTCTTCAAATACATACTTGGCGGTGTCAACACAGGCCAAAAATGATGTACGAAGTGACCTTCCTTCATCAATAAGCTTAAAAAGGACCATATGACCTTTTTAGTTTTGGATCACGGTAAATCTTGAACTTACTGATTTACTACGCTGCATTACTTAAAAAGTTCATAATACCACTTTTATTTTTTAAATGGTAGACCAGCTTAAACAAGTGTTGTGTGGGGCGTATACATTTATCTCAATTTTCATTTAAACATATTTGAGGTTAAGTTTTTTTACTAAGTTTATTAACATTTTGTTTTCTTACCAATTTTAAAACGTATAAATCCACATGCAATTTAACAATAAAAGTTACTTAGGCCTCATTCAAACCCTTTTGAAAATATCATTTTCTAAACCCTTAGCCTACCTTTAGTTAGCTCTGCTTTTAAACCGGAACAGTACATTAAAATTGTAAGGGATTTCAGGGATTAAAACATAAAATTTGAGTTGCCGAAATAATGGATTCTTCTCAGACTGTACGGATATGCTAGCAAGCCTAGCTCTATCCTGGTATCAAACGCAATGTATTCAGCAAATACTTATTCAGTTCAAACTAATCAGATTTAATGATCAATAACGGTTTATTTGCTTTTTTGAAAATATGTATAAACATCTGGCTTAATACAAATGAACTATGTTATTTCTTCTAAGCTTTACAACTTATGTTTATATACAGATAAATTGTAATATGCATTTTGATTTAAATACAGTGTTAATAGGAAATGAACACCGAGGGTTCTATAAAATGTTTGTCATTAATAGACTTCCGTAGTCTTTCATTTTGACAATTTTATCTATACATTCTAAATTTATTCACTTTTATTGTAGATAAAGCTCCTACAAGTAAAAGCTGGTGATTAGCATTAAAGGGAAAGGTTTAATAAAGACCAAATGAACGACGATGTTTGCAATTTCCGAACCCCATGTTCTGGTCGTCATAAGTCACTGCGTAATTTTTCAAGTATTTTTACAGTATTAATCTGATTTTTAAAGGATTACATAATTTAGTTTTGATAAAAGTGCGAATACTTGGAAGGTTTTTAATAGAAAATTATATTAAACGTAACTTTGAAGAGTCTTATATTTTGCAAAAACCCTAGTTTGCTTTGTTTCGTCCTTACAATATCTAATATGGGTTTTACTCTGTTTTATTTCTTTTAAATTTAGTGTTTTCTAAATGAGTAAATATAACGACGATAAAACACAAAAATAGGTTGAGACGGTTAACAAAAACAATATAGACAATTCTGTGAATTAGCTTGACAATGTTTTAAAATAGACCTGTTTCCTAGAGTTACAAATGATGCAAACCTTCCTAGAAAATAACACAAAAAGAACAGAATATGTGAATTTGAAAGAATTGAACAAGGAAAATTCTGATAGAAATGTTTCCATTTCATAGTTTAAAACCTCAGTATTCAGTGAGGCAAAACGCATGTAGATCTTGATTTTCAAAAATAGATTTATATACTTTATCTCATTGATGTGCGCTTCTTACTAAATACTTTAACAGTTGTAATGAAATATCCAAAAATAAAATGTTAAACTCTTTAAAACTGGCAAATTCTTTACAGGGGCGAGGTGAACAATTTCTGAGTTGACCAGTTTATATCTTAACTATACCTTATACATTTATATACATCGGTGTCGCTGCGTTTTAGGAAACTTTTTATTCAGTTCAAACAAAGAGAGTTATTAGAACATATAAAGAAAACTATTTAACCAATACTAAAGGTGCTAAAATAGTTATTTTGATTGAAAAGAAATGAAAGATTTGCGATCAAGAAGATATTTAGTATTTCCTATGTTGTTAATCAAAATTTACCAACATAATTAAAGTTTGTACTTCAACCATAACTGATATCAAATCTATCAAATTTTGATACTCATTAAAAACGGCCTCCATGACTATCATTTTCATGACCTTTGTGACAGTCCTTTAGTTTTTGCCATAAATGTCTTAATGATGCGTATTTTCATCAAGATTCAGTACCTACATTCTCATTTTCTTTAATTTATACTTGATGATTTAAGAAGACGAGTTGGTTAAAAAGGATATCCGAAATACAATAATATATCCGACACTAATAACATATGCATATCATTTTAATTCTTTAAATTAAAATTTATCGATAGTAACAGTTCAATTATAAGAAGGCATTTTTAAGGTCAGTTTCAATTCTGATAAGCATGTTTTCTTTGTTGTTGATGTTCATATAAATCAAACATAAATTTCTAAACGAACAATATTGTTATAAATCCGCCCCTGATATGTAATGATCTTTATTCATAAATGGCAATAGACTCTATTCTAAACGCACAATATTGTTATGAATCCGCCCCTGATATGTAATAATCTATTTTCAAAACTGACAATAGACTCTATTCTAAACGAACAATATTGTTATAAATCCGCCCCTGATATGTAATGATCTTTATTCATAAATGGCAATAGACTCTATTCTAAACGAACAATATTGTTATGAATCCGCCCCTGATATGTAATAATCTATTTTCAAAACTGACACTTGACTCTATTCTAAACGAACAATATTGTTATAAATCCGCCCCTGATGTGTAATGATCTATATTCATAAATTGCACTAGACTCTATTCTAAATGAACAATATTGTGAAGAATATTTATATTGACCGCAATTTTTTTTCAGATTAATGCACAGTCGCTAGTCATTAACGCTAGTCGGTCAAGTTTGTTTGATATTTTGTCCTTAACTTTTCGCACCATATGGGTTACCTTATCTTTATTATATTTTCAAGGGAAAATTCAGCCGAAGTTAAGGAACTTTTACACTTAGGAATTTTATGAATAGAAACTAATGAAATGCTTAAAAACTTATGGAAATCTAAAAAATAAGAGAATGTTTTCCCAAAAGAGCTGATATACTGATTTCTTGCATCAAGCGTGGTGTTGTTTACAAGCTTATTTCCTATCAGATTTAAAGTACGTTATGATATAACTCATGCATTCAGATTATGGTGTATTATTCCGTCTATAAATATACCTTAAATATATAGTTTACATGTTTTCGTAGAAACACTTGGTTCAACTGCTTGCTTTTTCCTTCTTCTTTTTTTTCCTTTTCCAGTATATATAAATGCAAGGTCATAATCACTGATATATAATCGAACATTTGTAATATTTGTAAAGTGTATTGCATTAGAAAAAGAATAGGAAAGGTAAGCATTATTGAAAATGAATATGCATTTTAAAAGAATTTACACTGTTCTTTAAATGCCAAGTATGACAAATATTAAAAAGAGAAGTATCGTATTTCGACGCTTGTTCATTTAATTATTTTTCTTTTGCTAACTTGAACGTGTAATATCATTTATTAATATTTTAAAATTAGATGCCTATAGAAGCAGGAACAACAAGTAATCAGGAAAAAGAACTACGACAGGTAATGTGCAATTCTTCTCAATTTTCTCGTAAATTTCAGAATGATTTTTTTTTCGGATTTCTAGAAATAAGTTAAAAAAATGATTAAAGTTTAAATATAAAAAGAGACAAGAATCACAAAAAGAATCATAACTCTTTTAGCATTGCCTGTTGAACTATAGACACTATGATCATATGATCAAAAGTTAAAAATTAGTCTTCAGTTTTAACTTGAGAGCAATGTTTGACGTACAGTACTAGTTTGTTTGTTTCATTTTACACCTTTTCCCAACAGTATTTCAGTCATATAGGCGGGTAGTTTCCTAACCATCGTTCCCCGAGAGTTACACCAGTTATACTAGACTACCTTCCTCCGCAAATACAACAATACAAATTAAATTTCATCTTATTATAAGAAGTTAAAATGACGTTGGACAAAACAATATGAAAGGGTTACAAATTATTATACTATCATATGAATATAAGGCACATACAATTATATCCATGTAATGTTGATAACATTCTGACCGTTGCCTTATTTCATTACGTGCCAACATTCGTTGTCTAAATATATCCATTCTGCTGAGTAAGCTGCAATAAAAACACTTCAAACACAACACAAAAGTCTTGACAAACGCCAATGTTATGTCATCATTTCCATTTCATAACATTTACTTGTTTGTTCTTTTGTTCATTTCAAGTTTCGTTTCGTTCAAAGCCTTGATAATGGCCGTGTTGTCATAACGGTATTTCAGGTAAAATATCTGGAAAATTGTTATTCCGACCTATGCTTGAATATATTCTTAAAGTCGTTTCTTATAAAAAAAAATGTTGCTTGGAAAATAAATGAAAACCTACTGAATTAAATATCGTCAATCATGTGCTGATTGTTAATTTCAATTACTATTGCAGAAAGAAGTTATGGAATCACAGCACATTATGACTGAAGCCAGTATTCCCAAATCAGAACACGATCAATTGAAGGTAAGTTTTCATCTGGCTAGATAGACAATGTAAGGCATTAAACATATTTGTAAAAGACAGAAGGAAAGTACGAATTATACCATAAATAATTCATTGTACAACTTTATTTGCATCTCTTTTGAATTTTGAAGGTTTTTTCTGGACATCCATAGTGTGCTTGTATATATTTTGTATCGTAATTGTTTCATTCGCGTTTGTTTTGCAACATCTATTGACGTAACGCAGATTAAAATGTGCACTCTTATTTTCAGAATGAAAGGATAGAGAAAGGACAGAACAGGTTCTTGCGTCACAGAAACTTCATTTTTCAACGGATTGACATCGCTTTAGTTCTTGCCAATTGCTATCAGATAAGAACCATTATCTCAGAACCAAACAAACATGAATATTACAAGATACCATTGGGGTTTGCGATAGCTTCAATATGTTTACAGATTTTGTTTACGATACTGATGGTCATATCTTGGCAAGCAGATAAAAAGTCAATAGACTCTCAAGGCAATATAAAAAAGGCTGAAAGTTTGATAGGCAAGGTCTCGCAATTCATTGCCATGCTTTTAGTTCTATTTATTGTCATTTCAAACATTGTTGTTGTAGAATTTGGGGCTATGACCAGCAATAGTAAAGGAAATGGAACTGACTTAAGTTGAGATCTTACTTTTTGCATAAAAGATTATCGTTAATATTGTGGAGTTGTTTTTAATCAGAATGTAATAAAAATGTACTGAAAAAAGGAAAAAAAGGAAAAATAAATCATGAACTTGACCAAATAATTTTTTTTAAGATTTTTATTATAATTTTCTGAGAAATAGTGGTTGAAATAGTGTTAAAGATGTTTCTACGGACGGAGTACAAACTATGTTGGGTTATTTTTACATTTAAAAATCGTGTTAATGTATAAATACACAGAATATATTGTGTAATGGTCACCATATTATATTTCATGTAGCGCACAAGAGGCATAATATGAAAGTATGGTCATTTCATATTTTAGACAGAAACTCGGCAAAAATGTTGTCATATAATGTTTTTGTAATAACATTATGTATTTTTAGATGTGTAAGTGTGGACATGCGATGAATTTTATGTGACTCTTTGCCTATTTAGTATACCCTAAATCATTGTTCATATATTGTATACTTGTATATGATAGCATTTTTGCTCTGCTTTGTATTATGAAATAATACTGCAAATTTTATTATGAATATTCAAATGCTTATTACTTGCAACACTCAGCAGGCTCATTACGTTGAATCATCAGTTCTCGACCTTTACAATATTTGTCCCCTTTGCCAAAAGTGGCAGCCAATTTGGGGGTCAATATTTGATAAAATATAATTGAAAAAAAATAATGAAGAAAAAAAGAGAAACAGGTGAACTGTGAAATTCTTTTAAACGCATGAAGGCAAATATTAATATTATTATAGTACCAGTATGTAAAAGATTTTTATCAGTTTACATTGTCCGTAACATTTTAGCTTAGGCATATAACATATGAGGAATGTCCCTCAAAATGGCGACCAGAGGAGATAATGATTGCTATGTGGAAAGCATCTATAATAATGATTGATGGTAAATTTATAAATTAACTCAAAGCAGTTTGTTCCATACCAATTTATATTATTTTAAAGATCATATATCCTGGTTGCATATTGCACATAATTATATAAACTGTATTCATACAAACGAATATAATTCAAATGTCACATAACTGTTTTTCTAAAATAAAAGATAAAATTATTTTTGTTTTTGGTTCTTTTTATTTGACCGTTTGGATTTGTTCGCAATTCATTAAAACAATTTTAAAAATAAAATAAAAAACATTTTTTTTTAATTTGTAAGCACAGGTATACCATTTTGTTAAAATTGTAATCTATAATCTAAATGCATATGTATTAAGCAGTACTGTCAAACGAACCTTCGAATTAATTCGGAAACTATGGAATCAATATACCGGTAAATGCCTGTCTAGGCTGAAAATATAGAAAAACTTCATCTTATGCCTATATTGTTCCAGCTTCAAAATCTGGAGAAAATATGTATTTCATCAAGAATAATCTGAAACTTTTGTAAACGATATCGTTTCCTCGTGTTCAACTATATTTACGCCGCCCTATCCAACCTTCCTGTGCGGTGTCCCACTGGGTAAGGCCAATAAACGCTAACAGGCGGTTGCGCTCCATGAACAGTACGTGCTGTTCCCTTTGTTGACCTCTGCTCTTATGTTTAAATAATATTTTTTTCCATATACATGTAGACAGTTTACCTCACCATGAAAATTGTGTTTCACACGAAAGTCCATTCTATGGTGGCTGATTTGGTACACTTTGCGCGTTGCGTTGTCAATAGCAACAACGCAACCTATATCGTTATCGCCTTTTTTTGTCTTGTCGCTAGCGAAACGCGCATTACGGCGCGTTGTCGCACTGTCGTCCTGTCTCCTGTCGTAAGCGAAGCACGCAAACGGCACGTTGTCGTGCGGTGCGTTGTCGCAATGTCGCCCTGTTGCTTGGCTTATATATACACAAATAGCCAAGCCTAGCGCCACTTTGAAATCGCGACAACACGCCGCACGACAAAGCGCCGTTTTGCGTGCTTCGTTACCAACAGGGCTACAAGACGACAGTGCAACAACGTGCCGTTTGGTGCTTTGTTGTGCTGTCGCTAGCGACAACATAAGGCACAAAAGTGTTCCAAATCAGCCACCATACCTTTCACTTCTGAGATGACCTTAGTTACCACAGATAAATTTATTTCAATGCAAAGATCCATGCATGACCTTAATATTTTCAATTTGAATTATCAAATTAGTGAATTATATTTAGAATTTCACTACAAAATATTTCTTAAATGTTTGTGGTCAAACCTATTGTTTTTCAAATAAAAAGGTCAATTTTATTTTGTTTTCCTTTATTAACAGATAATTAAACTGACGGTCATCAAAGTATATATCTAAAGTTTATAGTCAAGATCTAAACCCCGTGTTTACCAAGAAAAAAATCTTGATCCAATGATTATAATTTTATTGCATTATTGAGATAAACTTGACCGTATTAGACTAAAAAAAGGAAACAAAAAAAAAGCCGACTTGCAAAGAAACGACCGTTTTTGTGGGATAAAATTAAGGAAAAACAATACAAATACAGCATTAGATAGATCAAAATAAGGAAAAACGTCAGGATCAAGTTCTATATTAGTATCAACTGTTAATGTGACATTAAGCCAATCTAAGTGTAAATGGTGGGTGTACAGATCAGTCAAAATAACTTATAATTTTGCCATGCCTTAAATTCTATTCCATAAACCACGTGATTTACAGATATTTCTATAAATATCATGTGCAATGTATCGTTAACGTTCACTTGATCAAAAGAGTAGGACAGTTTTTTATATTTTTAACAATTGTTATAATTTATCCTAAACAATTCTATATATTGGTCAATGACCTTTATAATAGTCAATATTTTTTAAATATATGTGTTGCCCATTCAGTTCAACTCGACAAAGAAAAATGAACATACTGTCACTTGAAATGTACATATTTTGTAAGGTAATAATTCAAATTTTATTCTAAAATTTCAAAAACATATCATTTTAAGTCCACTTTTGTATCTAGCTTATAATTACTGATAAATATAATAATGCGGAAAAATAATGGAGAACATTTGAGTTTTTCATTCGATAAAAAAGTTGTAGTCCTAAAACATTTCATAATTAACTAAACATTACAAGAAATAAAAAAAATACCTGGCGACGGTGAAAAGGTTTTATAACTGTTTTTTTCTGTGGATTTTGCAAAACTGAAAAGATTTTTAACGTCAGGTATATTCTGCTCAACAACTTTATTTCAAACCGCAACAAAATTGTTTCTTTGAAAAAAAAAGAGTAAAAAATTTAGTTCGAAGAAATAAATCATTCTAAATATACCGAATCACCAGAATAACGCCATTTGCTATTTCAACGAAAATAACATTTATTAATGGATTGTATGCAATGTAAAACTGATTAATTATCAGATAGTAAATTGTTGCTTTGCTGCACATTAGACCTTGAACATGTTCAAATGAAGTATTTTCAAGCAGACGATTTAATCATGATTAAGAACAAATTTGCATTTTCTAGTGCAATTTTTCTATTTTAAGGAAAGTGATTAAGTATCGAATTAATATCCTGTTTCACAGTCCGTATATGGTCATAAAACAAAAATAAATGATTTACCGTATTAGATGAAATTTCCTTGAAAGGTTTATCAATCAATCAATCAATCAATATTTTTATTTCTCTTAAGACATGCAATAGACATACATGACAACATGAGGTAACTATAAAAATAGGAATAAATCGAGGCACTTATCAAATCATATATCCACATGAAAGCAAATTCGGAACAATAATTAATAATGTCTGGTAAATTTTAATAATGTCATTATCAAGAACAATAAAAATTAATCTTGCATAAGAAGGAGGAAAAAGAAAATGAAAAATAATATATATATATAGGGGCCAATGATAAATTACCTTTAAGTTAAATGTAGGCCATGGTTAACTGAGCGACAAATATCAAATCACACATCGATTGAACTCCATATGCACGATATGAGTACATTTCATACCGAACAGAACAGAACTTTTATTTCTTTGATTTGCAAATAGTACATCATCATATCGACATATATAATTTCAGAGTAACAAATACATTTCAGTGCGAGCAATCAATGCAATAATATTAAAGAATATTACACAGGAGGATGTTTGTCATATTTGTTTCGTAGCTTAATGTTTTACCACTGATTACAGTTTTGCTAACATCTTTAAACACACATAAAACAATTTCAGTGTTGTGAAAACAACTTCTAATTTACCAATGACTCGTGTAAAGTATTGAAGTGTTTAATTTAATTTTATATACAGCACTAAGTGTCTCTCTTAAACTTTACTATATTATATATTTTTAATCTAGGCAAAACCATTCATCATTTTTGGGGAAATTTCTAAAAATTTAATAACTAAATAGCAAACAGTGCAGACCATGATAAGACGATTCGTATGTGTTGGGTGGTCTTGGTCTATATGGGTTGCATGGGTAAAATCCGTCACGATATCAACAAAGTAAGAGTTAAGAACAAAATACGCTGTGGGTAATCAAAATTCATTTATACAAACTAACATTTAGAAACTCGTGTTCAATGCACACATAAGATAAAACATCCGGATGTACGTGTCACGTATGAATAAACAATATGTTCATTATATTTGCCTACATTAAATTCATTTGTTTCTCAATATGGTTAATAACAATAGTACAGTCTCATTACGACATGAATTAATGTAAATGATCGACAATGAGAACGTTTTCAATAAGTATTTCAAATTTTGACAATATGAGCCGCGTCATGACAAAACCAACATAATGGGTTTTCGACCAGCATGGATCCAGACCAGCCTGCGCATCCGCGCAGTCTGATCAGGATCCATGCTGTTCGCTATCAGTTTCTCTACTTGTTATAGGGTTTGTAAGCGAACAGCATGGATCCTGATCAGACTGCGCGTATGCGCAGGCTGGTCTGGATACATGCTGGTCGCAAACGCATTATGTTGGTTTTGTCATGACGCGGCTCAAATGTATTTCAAAGATTGATAAAATCAACAGAATTGTATCATTTAAATATTCCAAAAAAACATTTCTTGAGATTAAATTAAATGTTCTTAAAACTTCAAAGCGATTTGATACGAGTTATCATATGATGAATAATAATATTTTCTTATAAAATAATTTAATACATGTTATATAAAGGTATGTCATACCTGATCTTGTACCTCACTTAACAAAAACATGTATTATATATAATTATTTCATGGTATATTGATACGTATGATACAAAATACTATCAACGTCCTTATTTATGACATAATATGGGCCGTGTCATGACAAAACCAACATAATGGGTTTGCGACCAACATGGATCAAGACCAGCCTGCGCATCCGTGCAGTCTGATCAGGATTTTTTCAAACCCTATAACAAGTAGAGAAAGTGATAGCGAACAGCATGGATCCTGATCAGACTGCGCGTAAGCGCTGGCTGGTCTGGATCCATGCTGGTCACAAACCCAATTATGTTGGTTTTGTCGTGACGCGGCTCAATTATATTCTATTATAGACACATTCAAAAATTTGACATAGACTTTATACAAAATAAATTTTTTATTACCTCCCTGTATCTACATGAAATTTTAAATTCGGTAATACCTTTATAAATAATGCTTTTTGGAACTTACAAAATTGATAAATCTTAATTTGAGCATCATATTTATGAAATAAAACCATAAAAAATTTGGGTTACAGGATCTTCAAAATTGTTTAAAAAAATGTTTTTGCTATAAGTACAATTGATTACGTATTTTGAATGATGCAAAAATACTACTCTGTTTATATTTTTTTACTTTTGTGACAAATAATGTCATATTCAGCGATATTTTTTTTACGTGATAAGCATCGTGAATATGCTCTAAAAATCATAATTTCAAACATGTTATAAATCTCATATATACCTTTTCTGAAGAAGGAAATATTTCCTTGTTAGGCATAATGTGCCTTTAATCCAACTTGAAAAATTTGAAAGAAAATAAAAGTAGGATTAACAAAGAGATTTTGTTTGACTGCTTTGAAAACATTATACATACTAATACACATGTACAACAACAACAACAACAAGATTTGTATTTAATGGGTTTTGAGAAATTACTTAACAATAAAATGTTGCGCTTACGATCCATTGTTATAATATGAAACACAACATTTCAACCATACGGATTTATGATATTCCACCAGCCTTGTTCCATGAAGCGCTGAGAAACCTTAGAGTTCAGAAGCCTACAAAAAAAACTATTCTGGTGAGCTTATTTCATTGTGATAATGACTTTCTATACCGAATCCTGCTATGAAAACATTTGAAACAATAACAAACAAAACAAGAACGCTTCCAGTCCTATCCAGCCATGTTGCAATTCTTTCCTTTCGTTTCATTTGTGGATCGTCTTCACTGGGTTTCGTCTCTATTTGTTTCGTCTCTATTTGTTTCTCTAATGTTTTTTCAACTGACCATATGATGAGCATACAGATTGTGAAGATTACTTGCAGAGTAATGGACATACAAATGAATGTTAATATCAGGTAATAGTGCGGATTGTTGTCAGAGGCAATGAGGGCTTTTAGTTGAGACACGTTCGCCATCATCAGAGCCACGTCCATCAGTTGATGTATGAAGTTGCGTTTACCGATATATGCATTAGGTGTTGTCACAGGTTCAATGCTCTGAAGAGTAATTTAAAAGTTGATTTATTTAAGCAATCAAAACTAAGTGTTTTAAGTGTATCTGTTAGAGCAATTAAAACTAAGCGTTATAAGTGTATCTGTTAGGCCAATCAAAACTAAGCGTTATAAGTGTAACTGTTAACCAATCAAAACTAAGTGTTACAAGTACTGTAAGAGCAATCAAAACTATGTGTTATAGGTAACTGTTAGAGCAATAAAAAGTAAACGTTATAAGTAACTTTTAAGTAAAAAGATAATAATATGTCTTTAATAAGATTTACTTTCCTCTGCTTAGATTCATTGTACCCAGGAGGTGTTATATTTTCACGAAACATTTTGAATAAATGAATGTGTAAGACGTTAAACAAATCGATTCAATTCTTTATTGTAACATTTGTAAGTATAGTATTCATGTAAAATTTAAATATTGAGAACAATATTGATTATATTGGATTCGTACGCACCTACAATACCTTTATCAGACTCGGCTAGCTCCCCGTCCAATATAGTATTGACAGCTGTATACCTGTCCAATAGAATTCAGTATTGTACTCTTATATTTTCACATGACATGGAAATACAATTTGTATAATTTCTCTAACTGTACGATGGTGTTCGGCCTTTAAATAAGGATATGCCAGTAAAACATTTTCACTAAACCTGTATGATAAACAAATAATTGTATAATACCTGCCCTATATCAACCTCTTCTGTCCCTTTATGAATCCCTTCAATATGAGTGTCAGCTATTTCTTTGTCCAAGTCTGACTCTTCAGAATCAGAATCAGGCAAAGTATTTGTATCATCCATGTTGCTATGTCCTTTACTCATGCCCGTCATTTCTATTTCAATAGCTTTAAAATCATCACTCGATGCCATTTCTTAAATTATACAGAAGTGGTCATAAACAAACATGCTTTATATAACTGTAATAAAGAACAATAGGTGGGAATTTTACTATGAATAAAAATTAATAAATTGTCGAATCATGGGATATGAGTCTTTGTTTTAGTGCACCGGATTTCCCGACAATAACTTACAATGGCAATTCATAAAAATGCTGTATTCACGTGTCGCAAAACACTAAATTTGTCATTTTAAAACTTAATGTCACTTAATCACTGGATAATTGGATAGTTTTTATAATTATTTCGTGCACTTTTATAAACTTTTCTCGAAAATTGAATGACTTCATCTTTGCAGTACATCATACAGAATAACAAATAACATTTATTAGAGGCATATTATACCTCAGAAATCCATATTCTTTTCTTTAGAAATGTTACCTATGTGTTTAAAAATGTTTTATTAATATATTTAGAGCTAGTTTGATATTTAACAACCGAAGAAAGTAGCGCAAAATGTGCAGTAATGTGTCATAAAGGTAGCAAAATGAAAACAAAGTAGTATTTTGACTTCAGTACAAAACACTAATTCACTATACTTTTACCAATTGCCACAGAGCAAACGAAGAAAAGGGTAGTTCACTTTTATGACAAATGTGTATTTTTTAGAAACTGTAACAAGATATCGAAAATTAAAAGTTTAAAAAAAAATGATAGCATTTCTGAGGCATAATAGGCATTTAAATGGTATATAAGGTGTGTATACGTATGGTATATTTAATAAAACAGTCTGCGGATTTTCAACTAATTGTTTTTTATTCACGGCATATTCAATTTTTTATACATTTATACTCATAAGAACAGATTTTAAGTTAAGGTGCAAGTTAAAGTTTCATCATAAGAATCACTCATGGTATCATTTACATTATTAGATAGTGGATCCAGACCATTTTTAAGCGGCAGCTGATAAAAAATGCACTACACTTTATCTCTGTGTTGTTATAATTTTGAGAGACCTTCCGAATCAGTGATTGCAATACTTTTAGTAAGAGGATTACAACATAATACGTCGGTGCTAGGGGGGGGGGGAGCGAGGGCAGTAGCATTTTCCCTTATTTTACACTGAATCAAATTTCTAACTGGTCACCTACGACTTTTTTCTCAGAAATAGGTCGCACAAATAAAATAAGGTAATTGATTAACTAAGTCAATTCATTTAACAGATTGTTTTAAAAGATTTATAATTTTATTACAGGAACGTATTATTTGAAAGACACATTAAAACTGAGTCTGTGATTTACAACATTTGTCATTGCTTACAACTCTCGAAGGATCTCCCCCTTTGCCATTATTTTAGTATACCACGAACATATGTCATTCTGCATACATGTACAGATTTTGTAATTGATATTTCTATAATTCACTTACGGTGACAACTTATATCTCTTTACATGATTATCTTTACCCCCTATATGTCGTTGTTTTTCTGAATCATTATAAAGAAATAAGAATATATAAATCATTAGTCTTCTTACAAAATTAAAACGTAAACAAATGGTTGACAAAGAGTTAATAATGGTAATACCAAGTTAAAACAGTATTGTTCACATACGCCCCATCCGCTGGATCATGTGACAATAAATGCACTCTTAATTGTAAATCATACAAATGCAGCGTAAAGTAGCTGTGAGTGAGTGGTAAAAAGATATGAAGTATGAATTTGATAGTTCATTGAAAGTTAACGCCCACGTAATATAATTTACATAGTCATTGAAAGTTACCGCCCACGTAATATAATTTACATTGTCATTGAAAGTTACCGTCACGTAATACTATTTACATATTCATTGAAAGTTACCGCCCACGTAATACTATTTACATATTCATTGAGAGTTAACGCCCACGTACAATACTATTTACATACTTATTGAAAGTCAACGCCCACATTATATAATTTACATATTCATTGAAGGTTTACGCCTGCGTAATGCTGCTGTTCGTTTACATATTCATTGAAAGTTTAGGCCCGCGTAATGTCTGCATATGCTTATTTAAAATCATATTTTCTATTTGAAAGGTCAAACAGATATATTTTAGTAAACGGTAAACATAAACTGTTTATCTAATTTATGTTGCATTTACATCGCATTTATATCATGATGTGTTTGAATTATGGTTGTATGGGTATTTTCAGTGCTATTTTCGGCTACTTATCAAAACTTCAAGTCGGCTTGTATAGCCATTGACGAATACTTAGCTGCTAATTATTTAAGCAGTGATTAAAAGTATACAAGGCATCAAATTTCTAATTGTCGTCTACAACTTTTTTATTTTTTTCTAATAAAGAAAAGATAGTTGATCAACTAAGTCAATTCATTTTGCAGAAAGTATATATTAAAAGATTTATAACTTGATTACAGGAACGTGTAATTTGATAATGTTCCAAGGACAGTCTTCAAGCTGCCCGAAAAGGTAACTAATTGTTATACTTCTTTCATGCGGTGCGGTGACGGCACCTTGACACCGACTTCAACATTAAAACTTCAGACGAATGATATCTTCGAGTGTTTTTGTTTTCATTTTTTTTGTAATGGTGTAAGCATTGCCATTCATCGAATGCCAAAAAGTTACCAACATACATGGAAATGTCTGCACGTATAGATGTAAAGTGCAAACGTTTCATACATGTCTAAATAACATGCTTCGGTAACAACATAATTTAAAATGTTGTCGTAGAATATATAAGAAGATAGACAGTTCAAAACTAAACTGGTACTAGTCAAATTAAGTAAAGTTAACGAATATTCTGACGGCAAACATTCCGCTGGCTCGACAACATTTATCTATTGATATTCTCAGTATATTTTATGCTCTTCTTATCAAATATTATGAACCAATTGCATTTTTCCCTCGCAAGTGATATAAGTACTTGTATCAGATCTGTAACTTTGTCATGTTCCTTAAAAAAAACTAAAGTTATATCTAAAAGGTCCGTCTTGATTGTTAAAATAGTGAATATCTTTATGGAATATTTCCATTTACTGACTTATTTGTAATAAATGTTTAGCAATTCAATTAAATTTAAATCTAATGTCTTTTTTTTCAGTTTTACAATATCTAACCTTTTCACACTCTCGAAAATTGATTGATAATATTGATAATTTTTACCTGATTATCTTTTCTTCAAGATTTTTTTTTTCTCAAAATATTACATTTATTTAATCTCCGCACAATAAATATATCATATTGCAGAATGTATCTCTAATTCTCTATATATGTTTTTACTTCGTATAAATAGACCAAAGCAGATTGGTTTGATGACATACGATTCTAAAAATAGAAAAATCTTTAATGACAGTATATCATGATAAGGACAAGAAGTTCGAATCAAATAAATCAAAGTTTCAGAGCGTTTAATATTTGAAATAAGCCCACATTGAGATAACACATGTTTTTTTTTGGCAATCTTTGTATATATGAAATCAAATCTCTCCGTGATGCTTAACCTATTTCATTACTAAAAAAACATGCACATGATTTTTAAAACTATTTATAAAAGTATACAAATGATATCCACATGGAATTAGGAATTGGACTGCAACTTATGCCTACAACAGATGAAAATGAAACCCCTAATGTTCGTTTAACAAGGCAATATTGAAAGTGCGGCAGCCTGTAAACATGGTAAATAAGCGAAAAGTTTTTAATACAAGCTACCATTCATACTCCTGTCTTAACAGCTGGTCCTTGATAATCAATACAAAAAACAATGATATACATGTACTTACATATAAAAATCACATATCATACCATAAAGTTAAAACATTTTATACTTATTATCAGTTTATCTTTTTTGTTATACAATACATGTACTATGAACTGAGATTTGTTACGTTAGCCAATACAAATATTTTATTACTTTCACACACTGTACATGTAGTTGACGATTTTAGTTACATGTACCAAAGGCAAATAGATACATGTAGGATGGTCCCCTATATATGGTACCACTGTTGTTATTATTTCCAGCAAATTGTACAAATAAAAAGAACTTGTATTTACTATTTTATTGAATTGTGTTTTGTTGTCACATCTTGACATTAAAATACACATGTCATTGATAAAATAACTTCATGATTTAAACTAGAAACATCTATGGTCAGTCAGCCATGTTTTGAATGGGAGCTTAAACAGAGAGCACTATGGTACCGTTGTATGTTAATTGATGGCCCTTTTTGGATTCAGTATAATTTTTGTAACAGAATATGATGTCACTACAGTTTCAGCAGACGACCTTCACTTGTCGGAACATGAAATTTTAAGTTCAACCGTTAAATATGGGGCAGCTTCGGATTTTCCTATCAATGACAGAATTTATTTAAAATGAAAAAAATTCTATCCAAATTCACAAAAAGCAACACTTCCACTTTCACTTTAATGGTGGAAACAGTATTTGGTGGCATTCAATGTGTAAAGAAACAAATTTTCTGATTACATCGGAATGGGCAAGGACGCGGTACCCGCGGGGAGTACTATACTTCACGTGTTCGTCCGTCAATTTTGTATAAAACTATACATCTGCTTAAAAAACTGTTTGAATTTTAAAAAACGAATTCTTCCAAAATTCTTGTATGAAATAAATATGGTAGAAAATTGCCTTAAAAAGTGAACGGCACTGTTAAACTTAAATTAGTAAGTAGAATAATATTTTGTTCCAGAACGTTTTATTCTGTTAACGTAAAATAGTCATGTGTGATAAATAACAGAGATGAGTTATATTACAACTGACAAATTTGAGCCGCGTCACGACAAAACCAACATAATGGGTTTGCGACCAGCATGGATCTAGACCAGCCTGCGCATGCGCGCAGTCTGATCAGGATCCATGATGTTCGCTATCACTTTCTCAACTTGTTATAGGGTTTGTAAGCGAACAGCATGGATCCTGATCAGACTGCGCGGGCGCAGGCTGGTCTGGATCCATGCTTGTCGCAAACACACTATGTTGGTTTTGTCATGGCGCGGCCCATATAATTTTACTTGATACAATATTTTAAAAGATATAGCTTTAGAGAAAGCAGAAATATATCGTGGTCACTTATTATTGAACTGAATAGATATAACATTTGATAATCTAAGTGAATAAAACTGTTAATCAAAGTTATTTCATAATAACGTTTTTTACTATGAAGTACGCATTACGATATTTATTTGTTTATACTAAAATTATTTCAAAAAAGGATATAAAATGAAGTACGTATTACGGTATTCATTCGGTTTCGTTTTGAATAAAATGCATGCAATCATGCAGTCAAGTACGTTTACAGCCAGATCTCAAAGCAATATTGTATAATAAGAATATCACATTAATATAAATATTCATAAGTTTTCTTGTATATATCAAAATATACATAAAATGTTATGAGGAAAATTAAGGAATACAAGAAATAGTGTGGCAATTATTTCAAATTGTTTGAGAAGAACATATTTAGATGTCTAACGCTCATATATCACTTCGTATTCAACACTTCATGTACACATATACATTAATTAGAAACCAACCATCCTGAGCTGTTAATTCAAAGTTTGAAAGTTTATTCGTAAATCAGTACAAAAACCTTGGCCACACATTTATACACACTCTTATAATTAGAAACCAAACATCATCGTGAGCTGTTAATTCAAAGTTTATTCGTAAATCAGTACAAAAACCTTTGGCCACATATATATACACACACATACACATAAAAGTCAAGACAATATCATTACATTTTAACATATGTTCAATACATTTCAAATCAAAATACAAGATCACAAAAAATGAAAGACGTGAACAGAAGTTAATAAGCGGGTAAAAGAACCCGAAAGTTTTTTAAATGATATTTTTAACAGTTGTGCAGTTGTAGTTTTTTTCTATGAAATATGTTCAATATTAAACCAGATTTGATTCTTTTGAAGAGGATTTTAATCAATTCAATAATTCTCTTTGGTAAAAACTGAAATAGTTTATCTTTTATTTAAACTATGATAAGATATGCAATATAAAGTAAGAAACGAAGGCCCAAGCCTTGATGCATTAGGCTTCGTGAATTTATATATAAATGACACTTGAAGTGTGCCATATTATTTACAATATATCAGGTAATATAGTTAAAAGTTATTTTCAGAGTTGAATTTTCGTTCCATTCATCAAAAGCAAGAATCGTTCGACAACCTTCGATTCTTTCGGAGATTCTGGATCTCCGTGTTCTTCTACCCCAAATCCAGTAATGAAAACATTAGAAACAATTATCAGAAGCACTAAAATATTTCCAAATTTGTCTAGTCTTTCGGAAAGAATTCGTCGGCTTTCATCCACTGGGTGATTCTCCTTTGGGGACTCCGCTAGGTGCTCTTGCAGCTTCTTTTCTATGGACCAAATAATCAACATGCATACTGTGAATACCACTTGCAGCACTATAGAACAACAAATGAACGCCAGGAGAATGAAGTAATATTTGTCCCCCTTGTCCATAGAGAGAAGAGATTTTAATTGAGACACATTGGCCATCAGGAGAGCCACGTCCATCAGTTGATGAATAAAGTTTCGTTTACCAACATAAATGTTGGGGGCACCGGTACTTTCCAAGTCCTGAAATTGAAAACATTGTTTTAAAATCGGAGTAAAGTATATAGAAAGAGAGAGTGTGCTCACAAATTAATTACATCAAACGTAGAAAATCACTTTTCTGGTAAAAAAAAGAAAGATATTATTTCAAACCAATAAAAATCATCCAGTAAAACACTTTAACACCGTTTCAGACTTTATTTCCAGCATATTACTGTACTTGTTCCTCTCTAAAGTATCGCTTTACAACACATTTTCTTAAACTTTTTTTTCTGGCTTAAGTCTCTTCTTAAACTATATTCTATGAATTTCAACATAATTTTTGCCCTTTTTCTAAAGCTCGCTTTACAACACATTTTCTTAAACCTTTTTTCTGGCTAAAGTCTCTCCTATATTCTATGAATCCCTTACATATACCTTTTATAAAGTTAGCGATAATGCACTATTTACATTTTTGGTTCCTAGTGATACTTACTTTGAATCCTATATCGGCCTCGTCTTGAGCAACATCAGCGCTGTCTTTATCGTCTGCTTCTACCTTTGGTATTATATCATGTTTATCCTCTAAGATACCCATCCTTATTCCTTCAACGCCGCTTTTATCGTCTGCTCCATAAAACGCGTCATTGTTATGTTCCCTTTTCGGCTTCTTACTTTTTAACGCCATATTTTGGAGTAATGAAACCGGATAAACTGGGACGTAATTTATCCCTGTAGTGAAATGCTGGTGACGCTAGAAAAATATAATATAAGTTTATAATAGTTCAGTTATACAGTCAAACTGGATTTAGGGACCATCATTGAACAAAAACTACATGTTTATAATCTTTTAAAATAGTCTAAAATTTCAGTTTCTCATTGTAATGACCAGAGTAAAAGAACTTTAATCATACCACGTTGTATATCACTTCATATTTAAGGGACAAAGACATTATTTTTACATCAATTGCTAGAAATAATTCTCTTTTTTCCATAAATTTTAATGGAATAAAGCGCATCCTCCGAATCGAGGTCAAATGCGATACGCAATCCTTAAATACATACTTGTCATGGCCACACTTTAGAAACTTCAACTCTTCCCCATAGCTCAAAATTAAAGATTGGAAATAGAAAAATCCATTTAAAATCATAAGTTATTTTGAAGTTGAAACAAATCCTGTAAAAAATATTAATCAAGCCACCATTAAAAACGAATCATGTGGAATGGTAGTATTTTTCTTACACGAAATGCAATTTGATTTAATGCAGGGCTCAAATCAAGAGTATATAATAAATATTCATTTATTTATAATAAAAAGACGCCTCCTTTGCACCACGCCAGAACTAATTACATGTTAAGTATAAGCATAAAGAGGCCATATTTTAATACAATTTACAGCGTTTAGGTATGTTGATGTCATGCATGCTTATTTTAAGCATACGTTTTCAAAACGCAACATGGTTTCGTATCAGTGTACAACTAAAACGATAAAGTTAAATAAACTAGATTTAGATAGGACCTTAAAGATAAAAATAGGACAGTGTTCTTTAACAAAATGTATATAAAACATAATATTTAATTAGTTTAAATAAGACGAAATAATTCACGAAATCTTCAATAAAGCAAAATTATTATTTATGACTATCAGCAGTAAGTACTTACCGGTATATTAATGAATAACTTAACTAAATTAATAAAATGTACAATTTGAAAAACAAATCGGTGATGTTTAAATATTATATCCCAATTTTAAGATATACTGAGAATATGCCTGCAAAAAAATAATCAAATGACTTACCGTTATTTGATTTCAATTATAGAATTTCACGCTACAGATTTTCTAGTCTGGCATCAAGGAGGTTTGCCGTTTTTCGGTTTTCTTCATTTGTCTTAATATAGTGTAGTAGTAATAATAATAATGATATCCCAATATAAAGAGTGATAATTTTATTTTAAAATCCAAATTTATTTTTAGTACTTATTTGCTGACATAAATTGACCTCATTTTTTATCATAATGATTAGGTCAAAATAACAAATCATTGTATTATCAATAAATTGTTTACATTTCTTCACTGCACTTTCCTGTTGTTAGGTACAACGTTGTGGCGCACACATACTGGGTCAGATAAAAACTGCTATATTACGGCCAAAAGATAAAATTAACTGCGTCGCACACAAAGTTTCAACACTTTAATCCCTTTGAACTAACATAAGCAGACAATAATAAAAAATACTACTCAAGGAGGGATAAAGAACACTGTCTTACATTCGTCCCTAACAGTAGTAGTTTAGATACCGAACCCCTCTCCCCTTCTCACACACACAAAACGGGTCTTACAAGAAAAGCAGCCCTTCCCGCTCCTTTGCTGAAAACGATGTGTTTTGGTTTGGGATGCTTAAAAGAGATCCACTAAAAACCGTAGATCGGAGTGATATCAAAAATATTAAGCCGTAATTATAATGATGTCTACATGAAGACAAGATAATGACTTTATAAATGATATAACAACCATTTTACAAGGTGAACTGATAAAAAGTTGCTGCTATGATACAGTTGTATCGGTGCAAATAATGACACGTTTTTGTTATTATCATTAAAACGGGTTCAATGGTGTCACATTTTTTGTCCTGTACTAAGATTTGACGGTATAACGATTATTTCAGTGCCGAGTGACAACAATCTGGTAATACTGTTAAATCATTTCAAGCCCACCACGATCATTATAGTCCCGGAAGGAAATTTTTGGGAATAGTTCAGTACAATAATAAAACAAAAGCGTCGTTCTGGTCCTGTTATAGCTCACCTGGATAAAATCGGATACTTCTATAAAGGCCCATTAAGCCCATGAAATGCTATCATTTCTGATTTTTTAAACCTTTTTTTATATTTTAATCTTATTATAGTTTCCAAAACAATACGCATTGGCTATATACATGATATAGATTAACTATCTTCCGCTACTTTTGGTCTTTGGCAAATGACATAAGTCTAGAGAGTTAGCATTTAGTATGGAACTCAAAATACTACTTTGTTTATATTTTCCTACATTTACAACACATGACTGAACTTTCAACACTTCTTTCTGCCATTGTTTAACATCTAAAACGCTCTAAAATCATTATTTAAATATTATAGAACACATATTTTACCTTTCTAGAGAATTAAAAAAAATACTGATTTCAGAGGCGTAATGTGCCATTAAAAAGATAATAATGATTTTACAAAATAAGTGGCCCCATGGACTAGAGAGCAGCCATTATTTAAATTAAAGCTTTGTCACAAGGAAGTGACGAATAACCCCACCAGTTGACAGTAGATTTATTTAAATGTATACATTTTTTAGAAAAATAATTAAGCAATTAGATCTCATAGTTGCATACAGCAAATTATCCCACATTCGAGCCAAGTTTAAAGATAAAAACTCACAGTGGTATAGGATTTATAAAGTGGATACAGAGTGGATACAAAATTGTCCAATATTTGACTTTCTGCTATCTAACTTTAAGCTATGACAGTGACTTTTAGCTGGCGCAATATGCACATTGCCATGTTGATTGGAACAAAAGGAACATTATCCTTCAGAAAAGAATAAATCCTTACTTCTCTTGAAAGGGCAAGCATGCATGAGTTTTAAAAGTTTAGATAATGGTTTTCGAGCAGTTAAATTCTTTATCACATGAAGAAAGTAAAAAGACTGTGAAATTGTATGTTTATGTCATATACATGTATATAGCAAAATGTAATCAAAGTAGTACTTTGGCTTCCGTACCAAAGACTAAATCACTGTAACTGTATTTCTTGTCAAAATGCCATAGAAGCAAATGATGTTTCAGGAAACTGGCCATTATTATTTTTAACTATAAAAGGACATAAAAAAATTTGAGAAATAAAAAATAAAAAAATTTTGTTACATATTGGACAGTTAGGGAATGTCCTTGATTTGTTGTAGGATTTTTTAGAGTGGGCATATTTGACATTTAACCTTTAACTGTGACCTAACCATGACCCGGAACAAGGGTGGCATTGGTTTTGCACATCGCCTTTTTCAGATGTACATTATAAACAAGGTAAAGAAAATCCTTGAAAGATAATAGGATCTGTAAAATGGACATGACTTTGTCTGAAAATTGGCTGCCTGATATTTAACCTTCAAGTGTGACATTGACCTTCAGTCTACACAAGGATGACACGTGTTCTGCACATTGCCTTCGTATTAACCTTTTACCCCACGAGCATATTGCGAAAAATGGCCGTTTTCATTGAAAAGCCTCCTGTAACAAGTTCAAACTGCTATGAAACTATGAAAAATGCTTCAATACTGATGAAACTTGGCACAAATGTTGACTACACCATAGCCTCTGTAACAGCATGCTCAATCGTAAATTTCCTGTTACCATGGCAACGGGGGGACGTCTCAAAATTGCCAAAAATCACTATAATTTTGCATTGTTTTTTTCCATCAAAACTGATTTCAAAGTGCTGCAACTTCTCAATGAATTGAGATAGAGTAAAAGACTTTTCAGCGTCGGTTACTAGTTACCCTAAGATCGACCTGAGGCCATTTTTAGCCTGTCACATGTCCAAAATTTTCTTGGTGATGAGGGGGACTCCGCCCCCTTCAAACCCCCCAAACAGAAGGAGGCATATCCCCCTTCTGGCAACCCCCTGATGTAACATTTGGATGGGGGACCGCGCCGAAAAAGTGGTCATTTTTTTAACAACATTTTTCAAACGAAAAACAGTATTTGGGGCCTAAATAGGACATTTTTTCACTGTTTGAGGCCTCAAAAAGGTGGGGGGGGGGCAAAAAGCCGTCGAAACACGCTTATATGAGGGAAAAGGATAACAAAATATGATGAAAAACCGTGGAATTACCCAAAAACTTGATTTTCCATGTTAACACATGCCCTAACACTGAATTTCTGTGAAAACTTGTTGTTTTTTTCACATTTTTTTAATTAACATTTGAGCTCAGTTTGAAAAGAATCCTTATTGGGGTATATGACTTATAGAGTCGGCTTCCTGACATTCAATTTTGAAGAAAATCATTCGAATGGTATAGGAAATTGACTTGAAATCATTTATTCTTAAACTGTGAGTTTGAGCCAGCATAGGGATTGGTTTCCATCAGTGTACAATCGGTCAACTAAAATTATTGTATCACACAAGGGCTACATAGTACTATCTATTAGTGACTATTAATACTTATTGTATGATGACAACGCACAAATATAAACACAAAGGAAGGCAAGATACTTCAAAATGCAAATATTTATGAGTGATTATAAATAATCTTTAATTGAGGGAACAGATCATTAACATTCTTAATGATACAAAGTGTCCCACATATGGGGGCATGCTATTATATATTTAAGTCAATGCTACATGCCATATATCTAAGCTCTAGGCAATAATATTTATGAGTTTACTAAAACAGTTTATATAAACTTATTGTCCATCCTTGAGGAGGTAATTTTGACCCCCTTGGGAAAAAGAATTATTTAACTTTTGCAGAGAATTAAAAGATGGTGGTGCTACAAGCCAAATATCTATGCTATGACACTGATGTTTATGAGAATATTTTTTCAAGATATTTTTCAAGATATGTCACTTCATAAGTTAACTAGCCTATGAAGTCTTAGTGAAAATTCTGCTAGTTGCATATACTTCTATATGTAATTAAATATGGAAAAGAAATTATTTAACTTATCTATAATAAATTAAAAGGTTATTGGGGTGGGGGACAACACCAGGAAAACACCAGGTCAGTAATTACTACTGATCTATTAATCAGAGCACCTAAGAATTTTATCAATTATCTTTCATTCAAACACATTTACTCTTAAGATTAACAAATCAAAAAATTTTTTTTTCTTATCAAGAACAGCTCTTGTCTAATTGCCTTAAATCAATAGGTGCCAGATTTTGTTTGTGTATATTACAAGAATGCTTTTTTATATTTCCTGCAACTGACGACGTGTACTCGCACATCGGACATTTAAAAGGCTTCTCTTTGGTATGCACACGTTCATGCTGTTTTAAAATCGTAACATTGAAGAAACCTTTGCCACATTCTTTGCAAACAAACTTTCTATTCTTATCGAAATGCCTGCGTTTGTGTGACCGTAATGCAAACTTAGTCTTCAAAACTTTTCCGCAGATGTCACAAACAGACTCCTCTTGTTCATGAACCTTAATTTTATGCTGGTGTGCTGCTTTTGTAGTCTTAAATAGTTTTCCACAAATTTCACACGGGTGTATATGAAGAGCTTTCAACTCCTCTTCATTTTTACCACATGACAATTCTTTATGACTTTTGAAGTTTTCGTATTTGGTCATATGTTTGCCACAGGTTTCGCACTGGTAACTGTTCAGACGCCAAATACTATCCATGTGCTGTTTCTCACGTTTGTGCTTATAAAGGTCTCGATCTGCATGTAGAAAACATAGAAAAGTTATTAAACAATAGAATAAGTACAATCTGTGATCACTTTCTTTAGAAATAACAATGTATGTTCTTAATTCTACAAATGTTCTTTGCAGTCATTCACTACTCAACATAATGTAATAACCATTTATGTTCTTAATTCTAGAGATGTTCTTTGAAGTCATTCACTACTCAACATAATGTAATAACCATGAATGTTCTTAATTCTAGAGATGTTCTTAACAAACATTCTCTACTCAACATAATATAATAACCATTTATGTTCTTAATTCTACAAATGTTCTTTGAAGTCATTCACTACTCAACATAATGTAATAACCATGAATGTTCTTAATTCTAGAGATGTTCTTTACAAACATTCTTTACTCAACATAATGTAATAACCATGAATGTTCTTAATTCTAGAGATGTTCTTAACAAACATTCTCTACTCAACATAATATAATAACCATTTATGTTCTTAATTCTACAAATGTTCTTTGAAGTCATTCACTACTCAACATAATGTAATAACCATGAATGTTCTTAATTCTAGAGATGTTCTTTACAAACATTCTTTACTCAACATAATGTAATAACCATGAATGTTCTTAATTCTAGAGATGTTCTTAACAAACATTCTCTACTCAACATAATGTAATAACCATTTATGTTCTTAATTCTAGAGATGTTCTTTACAGACATTCACTACTCAACATAATGTAATAACCATTTATGTTCTTAAGGTGACAACGGAGTCAATTATCACTGAAAATACCTAAAATGAGATTTTTTGCTTAGTATATTTATCAACCTTTTCTGAACACATTCGTGATTTAATTTTGGAAGCAGTTAGTCCAAAAAATGTGTTTTTAAACGTTTTAAAACGGTACCTGTACTATTTTTATCTGCTATCGCGTAACCTGTCAATTATCGATAACGCTCCGCCCCCTGTTGAGGCATCAATGAGGGAAATCGGTAGTTCCATATATGCGTGAATTACCGGTCCATACTGGTCCATACTACTCGTAATTCATGTATCGTACAAATACCGTACATCTTTTATGAATATCGTCTACCTTTTATTTAGCCTTTTTTATAAAATAAGAAATTGTCGGCCAATGTACGTAACATAATGTATGAAACATAAAATTAAATAATTAAGCATAGCGACAAATCGCACGACCACGGGGTTGATTAAAAATATAGTTGCTAAAATATCCATAATGTGTGAAAATAATTTGTCTGTCCCGTTAATCTGATAGATATTACATTGAGTTTATGGACTTTTGTACGGATTCAAGGGCTTGCTTTACATTCAACCTCGTTTTCTAACAATGTCAAGTAAAACAACAACAAAAGCAGACAACATTTTTTATGTGAACGCCTATATGACTTGTGGTAAGGTCTCCCTGACAAATTTCTAAACCATTTTAGGTTGTCTAAGGATGATTATTTCTCTATGAATCAATAAAAAAAGATAATAAAATAAATTATCAGTGAATGCTTTGAATAAATTGTTCGCTAGTAAATCGAACACAGTACTAATAAACCTGGGAGAAAGTTTGGAATTTATTGTATATCCCAGTAGAAACTGGATCTCTATGCCGTGCATAGATGATTTCCATGATAATAGAAGTCAAGAAGGTCAGATCATAATGATCGAGTGATACCTTTTATTTCTATTAAAATATGTGAAGCATTTATATCAATTTGGAGGAAAAAATATATAAAATCCCGTTCTTATTTGTACATCTACCATGGACTTTAAAATACTGTCAGAAGCTCAGTTTTTTTGTTATTTTAATTTATATTTTAACGGAATTTCATACACGAGTACACAGATAGAGTGACACTGGTATAATATAATAATAATGCTGATGATAATAATAATAAACTTTAAATGTGAAACAATTAAATACCCCGCTAGCGGTGCACAAATACGTCCCATTTCCCCCCACCGAGTGCCTCAAATTTTACCGAAAGTCACGTGACATGTGCAACCGATACCAGACTAACGGTAAATCACGTTAAGATGTGAAGAAATTTCTGTTATAAACTGATATTAATCAGCAACTTTTTAATTGGTCAGATGTCACTGGGTCATAAAATGTTGTTAGTGTATGTTACCGCAACTTGTGACCCTCTCTGGTGCGATATTTGTGTATTATGTAATTATTTAGCGTGAAACGTAGGGGTCCGAGAGAGAACAGCCAATTTATGACACTTCGTTTGATGCGGATCGGACTAACTTTGAATCGGCATAACTTTTTTAATAATCAAGCAATTAACATGCGGTTTAAAGCACATGAAGGGGAATTCATTTACGGAGGGAACCGTATCAGGGATTTTTGTTTGCTCAATCAGCGACTTAATTATCTTTAATTACGTAATATGTATGGTGAAAAAAGTCGCATAAAATGTTTGACGTTACGTAATATTTTTTTGAGAAAAGATAGACAAAATTTGAGACACGGTTCCCCAGATATTATAAGTATGTTTATTTTCCAAAAGTTTGATGACACAAAAATAAAAAATGACTTTGATATGACGATTTAAAATTTTAGGATTTTTATTAAAAATCAATCATTTACAAAGACATTTTTTTCAAATATGTTATTTTTTATGATGATCAACGACATTTAATGCACAAAGATTAAATAAATAACAATTATTACTAGAATAAGTTGGTTTAAATGACATTTATGTGATTACCACGGAAAGTGTCTGTTGTCACCTTAATTCTACAAATGTTCTTTGAAGTCATTCAATACTCAACATAATGTAATAACCATTTATGTTCTTAATTCTACAAATGTTCTTTGAAGTCATTCACTACTCAACATAATGTAATAACCATGAATGTTCTTAATTCTAGAGATGTTCTTAACAAACATTCTCTACTCAACATAATATAATAACCATTTATGTTCTTAATTCTACAAATGTTCTTTGAAGTCATTCACTACTCAACATAATGTAATAACCATGAATGTTCTTAATTCTAGAGATGTTCTTTACAAACATTCTTTACTCAACATAATGTAATAACCATGAATGTTCTTAATTCTAGAGATGTTCTTAACAAACATTCTCTACTCAACATAATATAATAACCATTTATGTTCTTAATTCTACAAATGTTCTTTGAAGTCATTCACTACTCAACATAATGTAATAACCATGAATGTTCTTAATTCTAGAGATGTTCTTTACAAACATTCTTTACTCAACATAATGTAATAACCATGAATGTTCTTAATTCTAGAGATGTTCTTAACAAACATTCTCTACTCAACATAATGTAATAACCATTTATGTTCTTAATTCTAGAGATGTTCTTTACAGACATTCACTACTCAACATAATGTAATAACCATTTATGTTCTTAATTCTACAAATGTTCTTTGAAGTCATTCACTACTCAACATAATGTAATAACCATGAATGTTCTTAATTCTAGAGATGTTCTTTACAAACATTCTTTACTCAACATAATGTAATAACCATGAATGTTCTTAATTCTAGAGATGTTCTTAACAAACATTCTCTACTCAACATAATATAATAACCATTTATGTTCTTAATTCTACAAATGTTCTTTGCAGTCATTCACTACTCAACATAATGTAATAACCATGAATGTTCTTTATTCTACAGATGTTCTTTACAGATATTCACTACTCAACATATTGTATAACAATGTTATAATATGTGATCTTTACTTTACACATGTTTGCTAATATACAGACTTTCTCTAGTCATTTATGGATGAAGGTCAAAGTTAGTCTGGTCTACTGAAAGGTTTTGTCCCAAGGGTTGTTGTGGCCAAGTATGAAGACAATTCAACAAGAGCATAAAAAGTTATAATCAAGGTACAAGTTTGCGGATGTCAACGCTGACATAACAATACCAGTTAATTGAGTTAATAATGAACAACATAATGATCTTATACAAATACAAATAATGATAGTAAAATAGCTAGATATTTGCTTCTGTGAGAACAGCCAGTGTTTTAATTGGTCTTTTTCTTGCATATTACATCTAAATCATATACGAGAACTAATATTTTCACACACCATTTTTCTTCTAGTACAGGAGTTTATATATTCATTTATAACAGTGTAATAGCGTCCTCCTAGGTATGCAATTCATTCATAATGAACAACTTGCCTTGCACAGGGGACTGAAAATTGGGATTTTCTGTAACCATAGAACAATTCTGATTAATATGCAAGGAAAGTTATACTAGACATGGGGTGTCAGGCTACCACTTAATTTACAGACTATTACAATACCAGTACTTACATCCTTCAAACTCTTCTCCACATATAGGGCACACAGGGTTCGGCATAATTTCTCTATGATTTGCAAACATATGCTGCCTTAATTTTCTTCTGTCTTGAAACAGGTAATCACATTCAGAACACTTCAGAAATCCCATTTTTAGAAGTTCTTCTGGACTATAATGGCGTTTAGCAAATCCCCGAGGTTTTGTTTTTGGAAGGGTATGTTTGACCTCATTCCTATGCACCCACAGGTTCTCCACTGACAAAATAATATAGACATTCATTATACAACATACATTTTGATATAAAGTTTTTAAATTGAAACACATTAATTCTTAACCAAGAATCAATTTAGTTGTTTAAAAATACTAATTTCAGATTAATTGTAATTGTGTTTAGCAACTTATATTAATCATTTTTTGAGTCCCCTCCCTATTACTAATAATCATGATTATATAAGGAACAAAGATGTGACCGGAAAGGGCTCTAACCCTCGATCACGAGAAAGAGTGGTAAGACACTTATACCAATGTGCCTCTGCCTCTTGTAAGTCATTTAATTATTAGAACAGTATCATTGAATAAGTACAAAACTTATCACAATGAATTTAAAAGAGCTTAATTGTAGTCTAAAAGTCTCAAAGCATAGTTTGTAAATCTTACTGTGATGACGACGAACTGGGTCACTTTAAACAGAAAAATTTGAAAAAAATTAATGAAGAAATATTCTCTAAATTAAAAAGAAAATCAATATTTGGTGCTAACACAAGTTTAATTAAATACTGTTTACTTTATATACATTGTAGTTTAAAGTCATTTTGCACAATAAAAATTATTATTCTGAAAAAATGGAAAAACGAAGCATGAGAATGATCTGTAACTTTGCACGTAAGTTATTGGTATGGATCTCCATCAAACGATATAAAACCTTGTAAAAAATATCCAGTCGTATCATATCAAAAAACCTTAGTGGTGTTCCTTTAAAAATAAAATTTTGGTTAATAGAATCTTTTATACTTCTATTTCTGAAATAGGCAATGTCAAAGTAAAGTGCCACAACACTAATAAAATAAATTACAATAAAATAAATTATAAGTTAACTACAAATAATAATAAAAACAATATTTACGTGATGAAAATTTTTCCTGGCAATCTGGGCAAAAAGAACAGCTTAGCTGATTAGCATACATTTTATTCTTTGTTTTTTCATTTTCTTCTTTGTCAGTTATTAGACTTTCATCCTCATTTTCATTTGTCAATTTATCCTCGCCTTCGGATATTTTACCTTTATTTTTTATTTTTGTCACCAAATCTGCTAAGTAAGCACTTTTTCGAATTCCTTTAATTGCAGAACTATATTTAGCATAACTTTGATTTGTCTTTCTGATTTTCACAGGTTTAAGCATGTTATGCTCTACAAAGTCAGAGATATATCCACTAGCAGGTACCCCTTTTGTTGGGAGAGAGCTTACAGCAGTCATTGGTTGGTTAAGCCCCAGATTAATACCAGATGACAATGGAGTTAGTAAAGGTCTAACAGAAGTTCCTAAAGCATTTGATGTCAAATCACTGATACCAGGTGTGACAGATATAATGGGTAACACAGTATTTGGAGTAGAAACTTTAAGTCCTCCAGCTTGCTCATTATTAGACTTCAAAATTTTTGTCTTTTTAAATATGTCTTCATCTATTGCAGAAATTTCATGTTTTGTTTCTTCATTATCATTAGCAGGAAGTATGGGTGTTTCTACGTCATACAGGGAAGGTTCATCAGCAGAATCTGTGTCTGTTCCATAGTCTTCATAAACGACTTCTGACTTAATTTCCACAAAGTCTGGCATGTCTGTGTCGTTATCATTGGTTTCATGAATGTTTGTAAAAATGTTATCAAAACCATTCTGCCTGACATCTACCACTGTCTGATCTGATACGACTGAAACATATAAAAAATTATAATTAACAAGATGTGACAGTATGTTTAAAGCAGCACGCCTCCAGATTTATGGCTAATTTTCATGAAAATTTTGAAAATGTATTTGAATGTGAAATATTGTGAAATAACCAAAGAGAAGCAATTTACACATTATCAATGACACTTACAATCCACGTAAAATATAAAGCGGTCAAAATATGCATAAATAGCATTTACTGTGTTAGTAATGCAGTAGAAATATAGTTGTAAATACTGAAAAAGTCAATCATTAATCGCACATAATATGTAAAATATTACTTGAATCTGGAAACTTTTTACTTTTCCTTACATCTTAGTACATTTTTCTCAAGTTTGATTTCATTGAAATATATTGACTCATATTAAAGAATAAGGTCTAATGGTTGAGGAAAACTTCACTTTACTTTCTATGGAGTATTTCATGCACAAGCAGGCACCTGAGAAGAACCACCAACCTCTCATAAGCTAGCTGGATAGCTTCCTTACAATGACTGATCCAAGTAACTAGGAATATCAAACCCCTACATGAATGAATAAAAACTTCTATGTGGAAAGCCATGTGAATCATCACATGCAGGTTCTTCGGTGACTTCAGTATGAATGTACACATGAAAGAAAAATCTCACAGTTTGGGAAAAGGTTAATGTCCTTAACACTTACATTACTATTTTATTCCAACATGCTGTTTGGTAACCAACCCATACAATCAGTTTTGCTTATGTGTATAACTACTTGTATAACAATTCTATTTTGTATACATGTAACAGTTGACAGTTACATAAATTAGTCACTCTTGATTTATGAAGGACAAATAGGCAATAAAATGCTCAAACAGACTGAAGGACAGACAAGCTAGCAACAATATGCTCCACAAGTCTTAAGCCCCAGATAAATTAACATAAATATTTTCAATAAGAGTTGAGGAAAAACGGGCTCCTCTAGACTGAAGGAAAGACAAACTGGCAACAATATGTTCAACCAGACTGAAGGACCTGTGGACAATCTGGAAATAATATACCTGTACTTTGGTGCAGTGTCAAAGAATACTTTCATCAACTGTGACTGATAAGCAGTTTAAGAGACACTTTCTTTCAACTTTAAGCTGCAGAGAACATAAACTAACTATTTAAACTAACCAAGAGCTAAAAGTCTAACTGCTGCCTTTATTTGATGAGCTTACAACAAAGAATTTTTAAGATGACTGATTCTTGCATAGCAGATTGGCGTTTTCGTGTGTTTTACACATGCCGGAAATTTCATCTGGCATGGGGGGTGCCAGATGAGTCGCGTGCTGTACAATGGCACGCTTAGGATGACGTCATTTTACCGGTAGTTATAATTTCATACGCTGTTGTAAGAAAATAGTTACGGCTGTAATATATAATGATATAAATTTCCGTTGAAAATAAAGATAAAGAATTTAAAATATAATGGAATATTGTAGAATACGCAAGAAAAAATATCTGACATATGTTTGCGGTTTGGATCAGAATATCCGTCCCTCGGTAACCCGCCCATGGGGGGTAACTCGGCAAGCCTGGTTACCGCCTAATGGGCGGGTTACCTCGGGACGGATATTCCGGTCTGAACCGCAACATATGACAGATATTATTATTCTTATTTGTAGACAAACACTGAAGTTTGTTTAATCAATAATAAACCGTATAATAATACTGTTATAACAAGTATACCATTTAGCCAACATGTCCAGTTCTTGTCAGTAAACAGTTTTCTAATAGAATCTTCCTGTTCACTGTTAACTAACATTGTAATATGGTATTGGCCGACTTCACCCATTGCTGTTATCAAAACTACTTTCTCCTGAAATCAGTGAAATGAAATACATAATCATTCAATAAAAGATTAACAGACATTTCTTTATAATTATGCTCTATATCTCACAGGAACTCGGCACAGTGTTTGGAAAGTGTAAAAAGTATTTCTAGAAAAAAAAAAATATACTACATAATTATATAATATATAGACAGCATATATTTTACACTATCCCAACACTGTCCCGAGTCCCTGTGCTATATTATATATAGTCTAGTAAAAGAGACAAAAATTTGAAATGTGAAATCAATCCCTTCAGTAACAAGTATGATAAGAGCAAAAAGTATATATTATAATATTTTTAAAGAACATGTAAAATAGTTAGCTTATGTAAAATTGTAAAATAGTTAGCTCAAAGGGGAAATAACTCTTGAAATAAAGATGCTAGAGTTATGAACCATGTCATGCATGTTGTGAGTATTGACAGAAAGAACAATTATCTTAGTCTAAAGACAAAAGGATATCATTTACATATTAATAACAAAGAACAGGGGGGGGGGGGGGGGCGGCTATAATTCTAGAAATATTGACACTAGAGTTATAAACCATGTCACAGAGTTGCATCTAGGCCGGGCGATTTGCACATTTTCAGTGTCTAATCTAGAAGGGGGGATGGGGGGATTCCCCCATATTTTTGAGAATTCCCCGCTATTTTTTCAGAGGCAGGGGGAAAATTTTACATAAAAAATCAACAAATTCTCATATTTGGATAAAAATCCCCCCTGTTTTTCAAATCCTAGAATAGACACTGCATTTTATGATATTTTTTGCAGATTGCGCATTTTAATTAAGTCAATATGCACCAAGTCATGCATCTGACGATCTTTTCAACTTGATTCAATTAATCTTCATTGTATCTTGAAAGCTTCTGCCATGTTTGTTTTCATTTGTTTTAATGACTAAAATACGTACTCAATCACGTGTAGCAGACAACCGGGTCATCCCGCATGTGTAATGATGGTTTGATCGCACACTTTACAACTTAAAGGGACTCCACTGAGGTGTGAAGGCCTAAAAACATAACATTTGAATTTCTTACATAAATGAGCTATCATGGCACTTAAACAGAAATATATGCAAATATAGTTAAGAAATATACTTTGAAATAAATTGAAAATTACATTTTTATACTTTTCTTAGTCCGATTTGAGTGAAAAGCGTTTAAACACTTTTCACTTTGGGTCATTTTTTACAATTTGAATAATTATTCTGGAAAAACAAAGTGTGCGAATAATCTGAAATTTTACACAAAGATTAGTGGTCTTAACCTACACCAAATGGTACATTTATCTGGAAAAAATATTTTCATTCTAGTCATGTCAAAAAACCTCAGTGTAGTCCCTTTAATACAAGTATTCATCAATATATTTTATTTTTCTATTTCCGTTGTTGAGCGGACGCTAGCTGTCAGAAATGCCTAAACGTAAAATAAATTAATTCTTTTGAATGAATGGGGGACAATACCCCATAATTTTGAAATTCTAGTAGATGCAACACTGATGTCACATTAGATCTAACCGAAATTATGATATGGGACATGATGAGTTAGCAATTCTTTTGGAGAGACTGAGATTGGGCTGGTGATGTATGTCTTATGGAGAGATTTTGACTCTATATGCTTTAACCCTTTCCCTCATGAGCATATTGTGAAAAATGGCCGTTATCATTGAAAAGCCTCCTGTTACAAGTTCAAACTGCTATGAAACTATAAAAAATGCTTCAATACTAATCAAACTTGGCACAAATGTTGACTGGACCATTGCCTTTGTAACAACATGCTCAGTCTTAAATTTGCTGTTACCATGGCAATGAGGGGACATCTCAAAATTGCCAAAAATCATTATTTTGCCTTGATTTTTTCCATCAAAATTTATTTCAAAGTGCTGCAACTTCTCAAGTGATTGAGATAGAGTCAAAGGCTTTTCAGTGTTAGTTACACGTTATCTTATGATCAACCGGGGGTCATTTTTAGCCTCTCACAAGTCCAAAATTTTCTTGGCGATGAGGGGGACTACTGGCCCCCTTCAAACCCCCCAAACAGAAGGGGGCACATCCCCCTTCTGGCCTGCCCCCTGGTGTATCTTTTGGATGGGGGGCGGCGCCGAAAAAAGGCTCACTTTTTTTAGCAACATTTCTCAAACGAAAACGTGTTTGGGGCCCAAATAGGACATTTTTTCAGTATTTGAGGCCTAAAAGAGGGGGGGGGGGGGGTCAAATGTGCGTTGTTTTGCGTATATATGAGGTAAAGGGTTAATAAATGCAAACTATTTTCCATAAGCATAAAGAAATTAAGAACCTGAAAGTTTCCAAATATGAAACATTATCATTTAGTCTGGTTCCCGGTCGTACGTTGCTTCGATTACGATAGTGGTAAGGGGCAGGTAATCCAGACTCCATATCAGGTGGGGGGAAAATCCCGGGATCGCCTATAGAAAAGCCGGGACCCGGGATCGTATTAAACTGTAAAACATATAGTAAACCCGGGAATTGACCACCTACTCTTGGTGTATTATTATTATCATCATCATTTGAATGTTTTTGTAGAGATTTCTGAATAAGTCTGATTTGTATTAATTATAAAAAATCTTTAAAAATAATGTATTTTTTTCACAGACAAAAGCATTAATTAATTAAAAAGCCGTGATTGTATTAAAACATATAGGGATCCCGGTTCAGAAAAGCCAGGATCGTATTAAAATATATAGAGATCCCAGGAATTGGCCAGTTCAAGAAGATACTTTTCAGAAAAGCTGGGATCGTATTAAAACGTATAGGCATCCCGGGATTTGACCAATTCAAGAATATAGTCTTTAATTTTTCCAATTAATTAGGCATAAAATTATAAGTATTGTGATTTCCGCATTTTAAGTTAATAAATAGCTCTTAATATATTTATATCCTAAGTTAAATTAATTTAACGTTCATTAGTCATTACATAAAATAGAAAATAAAAACTTAACGTTTTATCGCCTTTCATTACGACAATAATCAACACAAATATAGTTTATTAGTTTTCCCTCTATATCTAATACGATCCCGGGCGTCCCGGATCCCAGGATTTTCCCTCCACCTACATATCAAAATTACTTTTTTTAAAGATATTGAAAAAGGTGATTAACTGACTTTTGTATTCAATAAAATCATATGTAAGTACTAAAAAATTAATGAAAATAAATAAAAACATTATCTTGAATAAAAATATCGAAATCATGTCAACAAAGATGTTCTAAATATAGTACACGACTCTATTCTAATCAGTTCCCGCGAATGACGTCATACAAGGTCTCCATGACACCTAAATGTCATGGCAGACTGTACTCAGCGTAATTGATGTTTTACAGTAAATTGGCAATTTTAAAGATGGTATTAATATTTTGATACTTTAATTGGTATAGAACACGATATTAAAATAGATCTATGTTTTATCCTAAACAGCTAAAATGCACAAGAATTGATTGGGTCAAGTGTATTTGCAAGTGAAAAATAAGGTTAAATCAACTTAAGTTATTCCGGTTAGGTTTCGTAACGGGTCTAATCCAAAACTTTAATGCCGCATCAGATGAAAAACAAAAATGTTTATTAGCGGCTTATAAAGTTTTGGAAGCCAGAAGTTTTGGAAGTCTAACATTATCATTATGATTATGAACACAAATGAACATGTTCAATAACACAGGAACTATACTGTAGCGATTCATTTACCTATTGTGTTTGTATTATACATAGGAAAAGGGGTATTGTGATGGATAGTATTTTCTTAAAACTGCAGGTGGAAACTGGCAAACAGTAACAATTCTGAATATCACAGTTTCGGGTCGCTGTTGTTCAACTTGTTGTTATTGTCGTTGACGTTGACATATATATTCCGTATCGTACACATAACCGTACCATACCGTACAGACCAGATGGCGGTTAATATTCGCGCCACTCATAATTCGCTACATAACAACTCGCCCTACATTGGTGACGATTGAAAAAATATATATTCCACCAAAATCTATATATATATCATATTTTTATTTAATTGGTTTCGAAAAAAATAATATGGTTTGGTTATATTTTGCAAATTTTTCATTATATAATTTATTGTTATATGATAATATTACAGTAAATGCGGATCTTATTGGAAATACGCTGGCAATGCTAGGGTAACATAAAACATATTACTTAATTTTATAATTATTTTTGTTGCATTTTTGTGTGTTTAATATGCATTTTGACAATGCGACAATATAATTGTATACACGTGTTTATGTATATTTCCCAGAATAAATCGATACGATATCTTCGGCATAATTTCATGAAAACATTTCATTTTGATTTGAAAATTAAATAAGAAAAATATCGGTAACTAACCATTACAAGTGAAATATAATAAAAAAAAAATATGTATTACTCAGAACTTCTTGAAAGTAAACGATTTAGAACATGTAGCGATGATGGTTATTGGAACTGGATGAATCTCTCTGGAGCGAATCACTATATTATTCTTGCTGTGATTACCTAAATATAAAACATACATTTTATTAAATCACTTAATAGATCCTGTATGTTTTGCGATTGATCTTGTTAATTGTGTATATATACCACACTTGCAAAAAATTATATATGAATATAATTATGCAAATAAAACAATTTTTCAAACATCGAATAATATGTAAAATGTGTACTGCAAATATTTGTGCACATTATATTTAATCAATAATAATTATATGCATTCATTTCTTATTGGAAAATTTGACTTAGAATTTACAGAAAATAAATTTCTAATTACCTCCCTTCATTTACATGAAATGTTGAATTCGGTAATATCTTTATAAATAATGCTTATTGGAACTTACAATACTGAAAAATCTTAATTTGAGCATCATATTTATGAAATAAAACCATGAAAAAAATGTGTTACAGGATCTAAAACTTTTTTTTTTATGACAAATTTATCCCGAAGTATTATCCTAACATTTTAAATGAAGTAGATCTAATATACAGTGTAGACTATGATAATTTAGTTTTGAAATATGTAATATTGTTTATTTTAAAATTATTTCATTTATCATCTCATGACTTTATATTTCGTTAATTCAACTCTAATAAGATCTTATTCACCGACTCGAGTATTATAGTTGAAGATACGATTGCTATGCCTACATCCAGTTAAGTGCCTGCATAGTTTATATGGTACGAACATCTGTGTGCACGATTTTTCCTAATACAGTTCAGTTGTTACAATATAGGGGAACAAAAAAATTGGATTGTGAATTGCAAATTATTGTACAACTGTTGCTCACTACGAATTCATGGTTCCTCACATAAAAGAATCCAAAGTCTATGTCGAGATTCGAACCCACAGTGGGGAGGGGCAAGCGGTTTGAAGTCAACGACCTTAACAACTCGGCCACGGACGCCTCTTTTCGAAAATAGTAGACTGCTATATGTGTATTTACCTGATACAAAATTGATTAACGGACAGTTTCTTGCGGAAAGCAGGGGGAGCACCGGAGCAACGTACGTATACCTGGCTCATAGTATGGTATTTCTTACATGATTAACGGAGCAGACATTAACATGAGAAACGGCATAACAAATGTCATTGTTATTAGACATCAAAACAAAAAATGGGTTTCAATTAACAGTTTTATTAAAAAATATTCAATACCTTTAGTCAACAAGAAATGCTTAAGAACATTTATCACAATGAACAAAATTAATTAGAAATACAATGTATGTTAAGAATTTTTATGACGCAAGCATTAACAACTCCCTAACATACAAAGTTAACATTATTTTCAAGATAAATGCAAACTATACACTTTATAGATAATGATATACAAACACAGCACATGTTACCGCCGCAAGAAAGTTCCTTATAAATGCATATACCTCTATAGGTGACGTATTCCATTATCCCTGGAATAATTTTAAAATAGTAAATGCACACTCTCTTTGCGACGTTATTCATACACTCAAACTCGTGAACATTTCAAAATAGGTAATGCACACTCTCTCGGTGACGTCATCTATGCACTCTAGACTCATTGACATTATCAAAATAGTTAATGCAAACTCTCGAGCTCTCGGTGACGTCATCTATGCACTCTAGACTCATGGAAAATATCAAAATAGTTCATGTATTCTCCAGATGACGTTATTCATACAGTCATGAATAATTTTAAATACTAAATGCACACTCTTTAGGTTACGTAATTCATACACTGATAATAATTTCAAAATGGCATAATCTTCTTACTGCTTTGCAGTGAATTGAAACAATCACTTATTTTGTTTATAAACTCGCACCTGATTTAGAGTCATTCCACATTGTTGATGTACTTTTTCAAAGCTATCGGTATTGACAATTCAACCACAGCCGTGGATTTCCATTCACATGCTTGCAAAATACTTAAGCGACAAAGAACTTTTAAGTTCCAAACACTAGAAGATCGTTTTTGCATCTCGTCTTTGCATATTTTAAAAAGCTTCCTTTGTATATCATTGGTCGGTTTCCCGCCAAATTCGATCTTACACGCGCTACTGACAGACGTCAATGTCATATTACCAAGGAGTGTATTCACTATTTCATTAACATACTCCAGTTGTGCAGCTTCGTCTGATTTTGTTATCTTTTCAAACTTTTCAGAGTGCATTAAAATTTCGTCACAAAATGTGTTTAACGGAAACTTTCCGGACAAATTTTCATTGGGATCAGAACCGTTCTGGATCAACAGTCTAAAAGTAGTGATACTGCGTTCATCCAATCCAAGTACTATAGAAACTTTCAGAAATGCATGTAAAGCGTTCCCTATGAAACCATTTGGTCCGTCACCAACGCTGCCCTTCACTGAAAGATCGGAACCGTGGCGTAGTAACGTCTCCGTGCATTTGGTGATAAAACGTCTAATATTTGTGACGTCATCTTCAAAATGTCTTACTAATGTTAAAACATTGTCATACAAGCAGTGGAGCGCGGACGAGTACGCTAATCGTCCAAATGCTGTTTGGATGTGCAATGCTTCGTGTTCCTTCTCAAATTTGACCTCATCAAAGTTCGGATCCACTCCTGCGTTCAAGAGAACAACCATGCACGCTGCTATATATGGATACGACTTTCCGAAATCCGACGCGGGTGTATGGCTTAGTAAGCTATACAATGGATAAGTACGAAATGGAATATCAGACACTGGATTTTGTTTATACTTCAACAAGACGGAGGTAACTGTCAAAAGAGATTCGTACCATTCCTTTTTAAATGATAGACTGTACGAGTATAGTACATGGTAAAGGTTCATACCACTGAAAAGTGAAGTAAGTGAAGGATTGCATCTTAAAAGAACATCTAGGCACTCTGCATTTGCTAATTTCAAGGCAGCGCCTACTGCAGACTTAAGGTCGTCCGACGTTGTCCTTTCTTTAAGCAATAAGCGTAGAGCAGACGGCGAGTTACTGGCACATGCTGCGGATAAGTGATTTTCTGAACCAAACTCCAGTTTGGTTTTAACTGACGACACATCCAAAATAGATCTTACACACGAAGTGTGCCCACTTAGAGCGGCTACATCTAGCGGTGTCACCATACTTGTCCCGCCAGGGGAATGTAGTGGCGTCTCCGTCGGGGGATTCACCCACTTGAATTTACTTTTCTTTGTAGAATAATCACGTGGTCTCTCTTGTAAAATCATACTTACAATTGTTCTACTTCCAAAGTTTGCTGCCAGATGTATATAAGAATGAAATTTTGGTTCGTGTGGCGGTTTAAAATGACCGAGGGCAAATATGATTCCGACGGCCTCAATGTTTTCTGACATAATGGCATGATGTAAAATATCGTAGCCATCTTTATCTGTCCAGGAAAGCAACTGATCTCTGTCGCACTTTTCGAAACATCCTCTTAGTCTAGAGACATCTTCTGTAGTATTTATTTTCAAATAAAGCGTAGATTTCAAGTCGTTTATTTTCGTCGACATGATTGTGCGCACTACAATTATTTGAAGCACATTGAACAGTAAAGAACTATCCCTCGATATCTTTCAAGCGTCATTGACTACGCAATAAAACGATATATTCCAGATGTATGCAATTGCCTTTTAGCCTTAGCCAATCTCTTTAAAGTTTGCTTCAACAGTTCTGTTGATTTTTTCATTCATTGCTTGATGTGAATGATCAACACGAGTAATTCCAACTCTATTTAGAACGAAAACTATGAAAATTCCATAATCTACACTAGATCGATAAGCGTTTATTAAACATACAACTAATCAAGCGTCTACGAATCTAAACAAGTTGACCAGAAGGATAGTTCTTTACATGTATTATTACGCAAGATAGAAATAAAATAACATAAATATTTAAGCCTTACCATGCACAGTATGTACCGTAATTCATGAATATGTAGGGGGAGATGGATTCTGTATTATTATCATATTAAAAACATCTGCAGTGATGCTTTAAATCGACTTGACCTACATTTGCTTTTAGTTATACACAGATTTTAACTGCTTTTATGTTTATTTTATGATTTTATATTTTCATTATAAATGGGTGTAACTGTCAGCCTACATGTATATATCCCGAGGCACCGTCACAACCGTGTAGTATTATATCCTTATTTTAAATTATTAATTTTGAATAAGTGTATAGATCTATATATATCTGATGCAAAAAAAAATATGTGAATTTTAAAAAAAAGTTTGCTTCCAAAATGCTTGTATGATATAAATATGGTAATTTATTGCCTTAAAGCGAATGGCGCATGCACAAAATTGCTAAACGGATAAAACTCTACTTAAAATAGCAAAATAATATTTTATTTATATAAATACATTATTCATGTGTATTAAATAA